CTCGGTACTTGGAACTCGGTACTTGGGATTTGGGACTCAGGACTCAGCCAATGGTGATTCCAGACTCTGGAACAGGTAAGTACTTTATGCTCCATATTCCGGACTGTGGACCCCAGACTCGGTACTCGGTACTTGGTTGTCGGCATATGAATGTAAACTACACATAGGGGCACTATGGTATATGTACATTACCTACGTCCCCGTGCTCTGGTCACTCTAGGTGTACTGTCGACTGGCATTTGCGACTTACTCCGTGTGATCCTCGCTGATGGTTCCACCACGGCTTTCTTGCCCCGCTTCCTCTTTGGTGCAGGCGATGTCTTCCCCCTGTCCATCTCCATCTCCACCTCCTCCGTACCATCTCCTGTGGTTTCAGCAGTTAACCCGGCCAGGAGATCGCCCATTTGTGATGTCAGGAGTGCACCTGATGTGGCTGGCTTGGCCTTGCGAGGCTTCGGAATTGACGTTCGGACCTCCGTCCCTTTGGTGGCTGGACCCCAGGAATATCTGGGTTTCTTTTGTGGGGATCTCCCATCTGCCGAGTCATCATCCACATCATCCTCCGTAGGATGAGCTATTCTCTCGCCATCACTCAACAGTTCAGTTGACGAATCCCGAGGCTGTCGGATTGTGACCCGATGCTGCTTTCTCACTACACCGGTCTGAGGAGAGGGCGACTTGCCGGATAAGACAGATGGTACCATGTCCCCATCTTTGTCTTCCATGCTTTGAATAGAAATGCGGGACCTTCGTTGATTTCCTGCTGGGCGTGCCAGAAATTGAGCAAGGCTGTGGTGTCCCAATTTTGCAGCTTGAAGGCTCCTTCAAGTCAACATCCGCCGGAAGATACTTTCGGGCCACAAAGTCATCCTGACTTTGAACTATGGCACTCCATGGCACACCAGCCTTGTCCTTCCCCAAACATATCCCTGGATCCATGAATTCAACAGATTCTCGGATGTTGTGACGACAGACTTACAATAGTGAGATGTGAGAAATGCCCTCACAATGGCTTTCTTCTCCTCCAGCTTCGTGTCCGTGATGTCCGGAAGCAATGGCTTCCCATCATTGTCCGTGTCGAGTTCGAAAGCTGGCTTTCGAATTCTTTTGCGACCTCCCTTGACTTGTCTTCCTACATCCCGTGCCCCGGCACCTATCATGGTGTGGGTCAACACTTGACATCCAGTATACACAGTTCAAACACTTACCAAACTGTTCCTGTGCATACTCCTGCCAAACTGGCTCGATGGTCTCCCAGTCCTTCGTCTTCATGAAGCTGTCCCCGTCTCCTAATGCCTCGTTATCATCGTGCCTGCATGATTGCGTTGAGATGAAAGATCCGGGAAGATGGGTAAAATTCACTTGCATCCCAAACAGCACCTCTCCCTTGTCATTCTTCCAAGCTGACATCACAAACACTCTCATCCCGCATTGCCTCCACATCTCGCTCGAAAAGTGCTCCATATATGCCGGTCCCTTCTTGCGAGCAACTTGTGCTTGTATCTCTGGAGGCGGACAGTTGTTGGACCACTCTTCCACGGTTTCCTTCGCCTTCTCCAACTCGTCGTCGTCCAATTCAGCCATGACTCTCTTCACGGTCGCCTGATAATGCTTGAACATACCAGGATCTCCTGGCTTCGCCCCAGACTCATCCTCAATCCTCTTCAACACCTCTTCGCGTTTCTGCTGGTAGACCACCATCCTGGGCGTCCATTTCCTCCTATACTTGATCATGTCCTTCCTTTCCTTCTTTTTCTTGTTGTTGAACAACCAAGTCTTGTACATCTAAGAGTTCATGGAAGCATACGATGTTAAAATTTAGTTTTTCAACACAACATTGACACATCACCTGCTTTCTCTTCTTCCATTGTTTTTGGTCCACCTTAGGAGCAAACAATCTGGCCGCCCTTGCTAAGGCAGCGAAAACTCCTCGCTTCTCGCTCCTTTTTGCCGAAGTCCACTCAGGAAGGTAGTTCTTCAACTCCGAAATTTCGTTGTCCGTGAGCTTTTGGGACTTTGGCTGGCATGCCCTGTGTCTTCCCGAAGTCGAGTTGGTGGAAGGGCCTGTTCTTGCCATAGTGAATAAGATTGGAGGATGGGCTGGGAATGAGCCAAGGTTGAAGTATTAATTAATTGTGCGAAGTTGAACTTTGAGCAAAGACTAATAATAGGTTAATTGACCTATATCGGACGCGAAGCCATTAATGGAAATCAATTTGTAATGAGCCAACAAGACCTCACAGCATCATATTGCAATAACAATTCATTACACCCCAGCTCATGCCTTGATTGCAACAGTAGTAAATAAGATGAAAATAGGTAGATGCACCCCAGTGCAAAAATCCCACAGGGTAGAAGCCAGGGGCAGCAAAGGTAGGAAGACTTGGGTCAAGGTCCCACTTGCCAGCACAAGATATCATGCACACAGGTCCATGCCTAACTCTCCCCCAGAATCACCCACAATTCAACCACTCCAAAAACCAACTCCTTGGGAGGACTTTCCTGACAATGCCTATGAGCAAGACCTGGGCTCATTTGAGCCTTTGCAACTGCCACAAACCATGGCAAGTTCATGTTATATGTTTCAGTGTTCAAAACATGGTTGAGCATACAAAATTACAGAGTCAAAATGATTACCTCAGGCAATGGCTGCCGAGACAGGAATCATATCTACATCACCTCCTGGATCGAGAAGCTCCACCAGAAGACAGGAGTTGCTTCATCTGCCACCAGGATGGGGTCTACAAATGTCAAGATTGTCTTGGCGAGCCACTCTATTGCATGGGCTGTTGCAGGAGTCAACATCGTAGCAATCCATTTCACTGGATCAGTCAATGGAACGGACAATTCTTCGAGCGGAGTTGCCTGGCTCATGTCGGACTCATCATTCACCTTGGCCATGATGGCAACCAATGTCTGGTGTTCGCAGATAGGTGGAATTTGTTCGAAGAAGATGAACCGGAAGACCAGCTTGAGCCTGAAGATCTGCCATTTGTGTCCGGACCCGAGTTCCAGCCCAAGGAAAACACCATGGTCATCGTCGACAAGTCTGGTGTTCATCGCCTGGAGGTTCAATGCTGTGATTGCCCAAATGCTACGAGTCCGGACATTCAAATGTTTCGACATGGATTTTCCCTGCATCCTTTAACAGGCCGAAGACCGTGTTCACCTTCAGAGTGCTGGATGATTTTCTATTGGACAACCTTGAATGCGGCACCTCGGCGATGAACTATTACAGCAAGCTCCGGCGAATGACCTCCAGCATGTTTCCTCACCTTGTTCCAGTAATGCATTACCACCATCATCTACTGGACATGATATTGACAAAGCATTTGGCAAGGACCGATACTGAGAGCTCATGAGGGTCGCTCAACAGTGGAGGCAGTTGAAGACAATGAAATGGCATGGCTTTGGCCATCGTTCTGAAGACCCGAGCACAGGGGAGCTCGCATTATTTTGCCCAGCATGTCCTCAGCCCAGAATTAATGTGCTGTTGTCAGGGGATGAGTCGTTGGATGAGTGAGTCTTTTTCCATGCCACTGTGACCTCGGAAATAATATGAACCCTCCAAGCTGGAAATACACCCGGTCATTTGTGATGGACGGAAATTTCAAAGCCGAACATCTGCATCCCATCAAGCCATTCGATGAAGTTTGGCTATCAGATGGGCTGGGATTCATGGTGGGAAAGGACAGGTATAAAATGCATCTAGCAGAGGCTGCTGACACTGTGGAGAAATTGAGCTGCAACAACCACCGGGCGGTCAATCAAGCTAATGCTGCTCGGCACAAGCTGGAGTCCACCAGGATCGGGGGGGTTGCATGTGCCCGACACGGTTGCTTTGTCCCTCACTCCATGGTTGATTTTCAGAAAGGCGAAAGGCAAGCAACGTACGTGATTCCTCGTGCACGAGTTAACCATGCATCACTTGCAGACAAATGAACATGGACTATGCCCTTTGCGAGGCTTCCCAGCACAACATGGAAGGAATCACCAGGGCCGTCACCTTCTACAATATCAACTGTCAGTACAACAAACACTTCCGGGTTCGGGTGGATCAGAGCCGATTTCTCGAAATGTCACCGGGACTGACAATCATTCCCGGAATCGGGTTGTGGCATGTTCACGGACATCAGGACAGCTGCTATGTCCGGTACGCTTCCAACTTTATTGAGGGCATCGGCCGGATTGATGGAGAGATCATGGAGACACTATGGGCACGTCTCAACCTGATTTCCCCTGCGGCTCGGGGAATGTCATCTCCGCACCAAAAAGAATGCCTTGATTATCAGATGAACGACTCGAATTTCTGCAAGATGATCTGCATGAAACGAACTCTTTGCCGTAAATACAAGCTGGCGAGGAATGGCATCGTCGATAGTGGAAAGGCATTCGACAGACTGGATGAAGCAGCACCGGCACATTTAAAAACAGAGTGGCTAGCCAGGGAGAGGACAGCTCAGTCAAGTAGATTGGACGATCCTGCGGCGATGGATGAATATGAGATCAATATCAAGAAGGGTGTGTGGAGTTTGATTGTCTCTGTCGAGGTCCAAGTTAACATTGCACTCAGCACCAAGCAAAAAGGAGATCGAGCTTAGATTATTAGAGGAGGGCAACACCCACAATGCAGCACCCTCTCACAGATCTGTGGCTACATGGATATCCACCAGGTTGGCAATTGAGGAGGCTCAGATTGCATTGCTCATTGAGGTCCGAAGAATTGGAAGAAGATCAACAGAGACACAGAGATTAGACATCGCCTGGCAATGAGATCATCTCCAAGGACAGATAGATGGCTTCACTCATTCTGCTCTTACCCATCTTGGGAGGGGTTTGATGCAGATGATGACCCTGACGACTTGAATATAGACATTCTCGATGATCTCGATGATGACCCGGCGGATTTCACTGAGACATCTGATACATGGGCGAATTCTCCCAAGCTCACTGTAATCCCATTGCCATCCAACCTTGGGGTTGATCGATGCAGACGTTGCATGGCCAAGGACCTGATTCCACTGGAGATGTCGCTTCGTGAAGGACAGGCCAATGATGCCCTTCACAATCTCCGAATTCATTTGTGCAACAAGGCCATCTTGTTCCGAACTACTGTTAGGCAGGCAAAATCACAAGCCTTGAAAACTCGAGCTTGGTCCCAGGTGACGTCGGTGCAGCAGGCAGTGTCCCTCCATGCCAGTATATATACAAAGACCAGGAAGCAAATTATCAAACTCGAGCCGGGGCAAGACCAGCTTCAGAAATACAAACCCCTGCTTCACGAGCAACTCAAAATCAGCACTGCGGTGGGCAATCCAAATGCCCGAGGTCAACGGAATGAATCCCTCGCTTGGTTTTGGTCTGTCGAAGTCGATCTCGGTGGTCCAGATCAATCGTGGAATGAGGAATGTGAGTGCACTGCTTGTCCTATCCTGCAATTACCTGACTGGACCCATCCCAAGTTTACCGAGTGCATTGACTGAGGGCGAAGGCATTACGGGATCGATGGGAGGAAGAAATGATATTGGTCCAATTGGAAATGGATTGGACATGTAACTTTTTTTTGTGGAAAGCAGCCCAATGGGGGGACCGGATGCAGGAATCATTGGAGAAACGCCTTCCGGGTCATGCATGCTACTCCGGAAGGCAATCTCAAATGTATTCATTGCTGGGACAGGATGCGCAGGCAGCATTTCAAGACCTCCAGAACGTGTTAACAGAGGCTGGGGATGAATGAATATGTTTTACCTCATGAATCATTGGTTTGCACACACATAATTGATGCCCAGGAATTGTCAGGGTCGGAGTTTGAATTTCTTATCCATCCATCAGTGACTCTTATCTTCACATCTTGACCATCTTTCACTTGCCTTGCCTGCATCACACAGCTGTGTTTGCCATGCCTGGATCTGCTGCATCATCATCTGGCACTCCAAATCCCGGAAATCATTACCAACCCCTGGTGGAGCTGGACCTTCCAACTATTTCCTGCAATTTTGCAATGGCTGGATCGCGCGTCCGCGCATGCATCGCTCAATATCAGAGGGAAGCTGTTAGCAATGTTCCATCTGCTGACAAGATCATGTATTTCAAGGCCAGGCTGAAGTGGGAAATAAATGTAAGTTGCTGCTGACCGGATGATTTTGTTGGTGAATGGTAATCACTTGAACAGACGTTTGTTACACCAGTCCTGCAGTACTCCGCTTCAAAAAACATTCTGTCAGTTGTGCCGGTCCCAGTCGCATATATCCTTAAGTTGTATCCGATGCTAACCTGGAACACGGTTCCGGACGACGTTTTTTCATCCCACCTACTTGCGTTTGATGATGAATCAGTTCCGGGACATCCGTCCAGGATTGTGCAGGATTATGTATGTCCATGGTGGATGGGAAATGCCAGAATCCCGGATGAACCATGGCAGTGGGATTTGGTCATAGCCTGCTGTATCAAACATTACCAGTGTTGGGCGGTAAGATTCAATTTTAATTGCCTTGATTGATGACTTATCTGTTCTAGTATGGTGTTGAGGATGATGGTATAATTCTTCCTGAGATTGTGAAGGACACTTCATTTCCACCACTGGTGGGACTCAGGTGGATTCGAGAACGCATGGTAGCATTGATGGAGGAGCAAGATGATGGTATCCAAGCCAAGATGGGAGAGGTGGAGATGTACACTGAGATGCTAGAGAGATTGAAGAGAGCCAAAGGAGTGTAATCCCATTCACTCAGTTCAGAATGGAGTAGTCTTCAGTTTATGCAAGATGTAGAATATTATTGACCCTCACAGATTGTGCTGAGCTCCGAGTCCCGGATCCCAGATCCCGAGTTCCGGATGTCAAGATGTGAAACACGAAACACAAAAGTGATGGCTCATATGTCATATTTCCAATCACCCTGATACCCCGACACAGGACACAAACCACCGAGGCCCAGGTGCTGAGCTCCGAACTCCGAAACCCGGGATCCGGAACTCGGGAACCAGGACTCGGAGCTTGGCACCTGGGTCTCGGTGGTTTGTGTCCTGTGTCGGGGCATCAGGGTGATTGAAAATATGACATATGAGCCATCACTTTCATGTTTCGTGTTTCACATCTTGACATCCGGAACTCGCTATCAAGTGCCGAGTCACGAGTCCCGGACCCCGAACTCCGAAACCCGGCATCCGGAACTCGGGATCTGGGATCTGGGACTCAGAGCTCAGCACTTCATCATTGAGGCTGGACAAGCATCACAATTGTCCGGAGTGCCGAGTGCTCAGTCCCGAACCCCAGCAATCTACCAATTTGGGGTTTGGGGTTCGGTCAAATCAGTCTCACACCTCGAGTGCCGAGTGCCATGTTTCGGGACTCGGTATCCTGGCACTCAGGGGAAATTATTTGACACTTGATTGAGCACCAAATATTGGCATTCTGAGTTCCGGACAGGTTGATGCTCTAATTGATACAAGTATGTGTGTGTTTGAATTTACGTGCTTAACCACTTGTTCAATTTCATTCATCTTTCACAGGGCATATGGGCTATTCACACTAGCCCATCCACACGAGGGAACCCTGGCATAGATGTGCACGGAATCCCTCATATACCATGTCCACGCAATTTGATCCCCTTCCACGTGATCAACTCCATGTCTTACAATCCTTCCAGAAAATGCCATCATACACCCGGAATTGTACTTGAGCACCAGCTGAAGGCTTGGCATTCTCATCCAACCATAAGAATAGTTCCCCACGGTGGTGAGAATGTCGAAGCATTCAGGAATGGATAAATGATCTCGATGATCGGAGGTTTCCCGATTGGAAATGATGGAGAGGGTGTTAAACACGGATGCCCAGTACTGCAGGGTCTCTGGCATCTGTGGCAGATCCTTGGTGACTGCCTTTTCTCCGAGGTTTGAAAAGGTTCACAACCCTGCAAAGTACTGCTCAGGATGCATGACCCTGAGTGCCGCAGATGCGATGGCTGCTGGCCTTGCAATGGCTTTGAGGATATTCTTGGAGGAAGGTCCCTTCAATGATGCTGATACGTCCGGATCGGACAGATGCTATGGGATTGGTGAGTTTGACTGCCGAAATCCCCATCTCGTCAGATCCCACCTCGTGTCCCTGTTGATACCATGCCAGAGATATATTTATGCATCCGGGAGTTGAGCCAACATTTTCCGATCCCTGTTTGAACCGCTCTTGATTAGTCCACCAATTGCCATCGGCCTTCACACTTTTTCGAGGGTAGGACCAAGCAAATTGGTGGCTGCCCTAATTTCCTTCTGCAGGTTCCCTGTCATATTCAATTTCCATTGAACAAAAATGTATATTACACACCTGGGTGTCTTCTGTCAGGGCATCTGGGAGGTACCATGTGATGATGGCACTGGATAAATCAAGGATTGTGGCGGGCATGTCGACCAACATTGGGCCTTCATGGCCGGGAGGACACCTCTCAAGCAACTTTGCCTCTCTCTGTTCATTATGTCCGGTGTCCTTTGGGGAGATCAATTTGCTATATCTTGCTATATCCATCTGCATCTGAACTGTCATGAAGGAATTTAAATGATGAAGGAATTTGTTGAATCTACAGGAAGACCCACTGGGATTTTTATATGCCTTGATGAGCACATCAGCCAAGCGATCGCACGCCATCACCAGCTCAGTGTCTAGGTTGGGAGAAGGTATCACTGGGTCTCCTCCAGTCTTCTCTGCACTAAATTTCTGTGCAGTATATTCACCTGCTGCATAAGTGACAGTCAGAGCCCATGTCTGCCAGATGTTTATGTCATCAGGAGTGGAAGAGGAAGAAATGTTCATGCTGGATGTCCAGACTAGAGTGTTAAAGGGGGTGGAGATAGTGAGGATCAGATAAGAGACGCTTGGATGATGTTGGCTGTCAAAGATGTATTATCATCCATTTCTTAATGAAATACTACATGATCAGAAGTCCCGGACCTCGGCACTTGGAACTTGGTATACTTGACTGGAATTTCGGAGGTTGGAACTTGGCATCTCATAGGGCAACACAAGCCTCGCATGCTGGAATTTGTGTTCTGCAAGACAACCTAACCACCATACAAGGCAATGTCAAGAGAGCACCTGCTGCTCTATTCAAAAGAATCTCAACTTTGGTTGGCCGTTTAACAAGGAAAGTATTGACTGAATTGTTTCGAGTCCCGGGTCCCGGGTCCCGGAACTCGGAACTTGGTATTCCAGAACTTGGTGTTGTAGGGCAACACAAGCCTCGCACACTGGAATTCGCGTTCTGCAAGACAACCTAGCCTAGATTTGGCATTGAGCCATCATCCGATCTCACTGCATCAATCATGGAGGTGATTCTCTCCTTCAAGAGTTATACTTGTGACTGAACCGCATTCCAGAGTCTGCGAAGAAATACTACACAGTGAATTATGTCTTATTCAAAGCAAGACGACCTACATACCATCAAAGGCCATGTCAAGAGAGCACCTGCTCTCTTCAGAAAAATCTCAACTTTGGTTGGCCATTTAACACGGAAAGTATTGATGAATTGTGTCAGGTCCTGGGTCCCGGAACTCGGAACTCAGAACTCAGAACTCGGAACTCGGAAGTTGGTATGCTTCACTTGAATTTCGGTGGTCAGAACTTGGCTTCTCGTAGGGCAACACAAGCCTCGGACCCGGATTCAATGTTCTGCAAGACAACCTCAGCGCCATCAAAGGCCACGGAAAGTATTGATGAATTGTGTCAAGTCCTGGGTCCCGGAACTCGGAACTCGGACCTCAGCACTTGGAAGTTGGTATGCTTCACTCGGAAGTTGGTATGCTTCACTCGAATTTTGGTGGTCGGAACTTGGCTTCTCGTAGGGCAACACAAGCCTCGCACTCGGGATTCAATGTTCTGCAAGACAACATAAATGTCATCAAAGGCCATTGTCAGGAGATCACCTGCTGCTCCGGGAACTTGGTAACTTTGATTTATTACCTCCTCTGATTTGGTTGATGTACAACTACCTCAGCTCTGTCATGTCTACAATTATGATACACATGGGCCCACCCGTCTATATTTTATACCACCCTTGGCCCACCCATCTAATGAGATATTTTATAAAACACTCTTGGCCCACCCGTCTAAGTAATATGTGTCTGGGCCCACCCGTCTAATACAATATTTTATAATACCCTCGGCCCACCCGTCTAATTTAATATGCGTCTGGGCCCATCCGTGAATGTGATACCAAGTACCTACCCTTCTATCTGATACACATCTACCTTAATACACCCATCTGCATTATATCCAACTACCCCAGCCCACCCATCTACCGAATATTCATGTACATCAGCCCACTCATTTACTCTACATATTCCCTGCATGGGCCCACCCGCCTCCATCGGGAATAATTTCCCTCCCGGCCCATCCGTCATGGTCGAGGATATTTTTCCCATGTGCCCATGGTCTGCTGGCCCGTATCATACGGGATATTATGCACGTCCGTTCCCTCGTATTATATGGAGATAGGTCACTGTAATATGTGTCATCTGCCCGTGCCAGTTGTGGGGGAAATCTACCAGGATGTTGTAAGTACACAATCCTCGATTCTTAAAATTCCATCGGCTGACCATTGCAATGTACATAGGAAGATGATCATTTGCAGACATTGGGTTCAGCAGAGGTTTATGAAGACATTATAAGTGTATAATTTTCTTTCTTGTTTTTACAACTGCTGATCATAAATACAGACAGAAGATACCTACTATGCAATTCCGATTTTGTGTACTTCCTTGGATCCTATCTTGGCTGCAAACAACGATAAGTTAGACATTGAGTTGACTGATCCTGATGAAACGCATTCTATCAAATATGAAATGGTGAACAGTGCTTTCAAGTTATGATGTACAGTGGGTCAACTGATTTAAAATTTAGGATCTGGCTGGGGGCTTCACTGTGATAAGCCCTGTCCTACAAGTTTTGTCTGCGCTACGCATACCTCACATCATTCCTCGAAGGCTTACATGGCAATTTCCCCTCGGTCAATCAAGAGGCACTACCAGGCAAGATACTGAAGAGCCACGTCATTCATCTCGTATCATTATGCAGCCCTCCACAATTCATGTGATCAAAAATTCACAATGTGCAACAGAAGCCCTCACAGCTACCCACTTGGCTGAATGGTGCCGTAGACTCCCTTTACCTTCTTGCGTGGTGCTTGCTATACTAGCATTGTGCTGGTTGGTCATACATAGATATATGAATGCGACACATGTACAGCAGGACTTCCCCCAGCATTTGTGTCAAACAATCCATTCTAGGAAACCTATTCAGTATGTAGGACGTGATGTACTTTTATAGCGCCTGTACTTTACAAAGGAACATGATCAAGTACCTCTTCCTTCGCTCGTCCGCCTCTCATTGTCCTCACAGCGGGTGTAGAACGTGACCGACATTCGGGTTCATCAAAAAGAGTGATCTCCGAGGCCTATCTCCTTAAGTCGTCTTTGGCCAGCTCATGCATTGACTTAGGCATTGCATTACTCCGCCGAGAAGGCAAGTCAGCGGATACCTCTCCCATCTGCACATTTCAGGCGGAATGAAAGGTGAATTGTGGGGATGTGTATAAGACACCGCAACACCACTGCGCTTGGGTACAGCCTCATCGATTCCGGCGTCATCGTCACCGGCCGAAGAATGTAAAGATGAAGGCAAAACAGTGTGCTGATCTTTGGGGAGATGAAACGGCTTCACTACGTCGTCCCCGGTGGTGAGAGGTACCTTCCTGGTTGTTGGAGGAGAGATTAGGTTCACATCCAAATCACAAGTACAAATGGAAATGAAACATACTTGCTCGCCTTGATGTGCCTCAGCATTCTGCATATCCAATGTTGTGTCGTCCATATTGGATGCAGATTGCTTGCGGAGACGATCTCGAGCCCTTGCACGAAATGTATCCAACGCTTGTGAACTTGGTCCAAACGTTTGGCATGCGCTTTCTCTTCTGCGTCATTTTCGGCTTCCAAATAACCCTAAGACAAGGTTGAATTCAGTGGGCGCAGCAAAGTCTGTGATACAGCAAGTTCACCTCCACTATGATAATTTTATTCTCCTCGGCAACGACAATTCCCTCAATTATCGGGATAGCTCTTCGATTCATATGAACACTACCTTCAGGGAGCATCAACGGAATATACAGATCGATATTCCCAAAATCGTTCTTAGGAACTTTTCCCTGCAAACACGAAGGTCAGCCATGTGCCAGGAGTCATTACGACTAAACATACGTCAATGACTGGCTTGGTCTTGTAAAAATTCATCTGGGACCATGCGTGTAAGGCTTGCATGTCTTCCTGGCAATCTCCTCCATGAGTATTCCTGGAACTTGCCCAACTCGACAGGAGGATCAATAATCTCATCACGCTTCAGATGCCGTGATAGAGCATATCTGGACTTTGAGTACGACGCGCAGAAAAGGTGAAATTACGCTTGTACAAAGGATGGCCCTTGAATCCAGCAACTATGGTGGGCATGCCCTCGGTAAATTGATGGTTATATGCAGTTCCGTATCCATCGGCAAGTTGGGCAGCTTGGAATGGATTTACGCTGGAACGATCGAGATTAACATAGTGAGCCTGAGGATCGTTGGGGGTTATCCTGCAGCGGATGGTTGACGAGACAAGTATGCCGCGCTGGACGGTTGCCAAGTGAGGTGACTGTGGTCCTTGTGAGGGGCATGTGTCATTGCCATCTGAGCATGAGGATGCATGGGGGGAGCATGCAAGGTATCACTGTAGGCAGCTTGTTGACCAATAACCACCACAATAATTCGGATGGTTGTATTGAGCGTTGAGGGCAGGGGATGCGTTGTGACGTTCGATCATGGTCGGTGGGTGGGGATTAAAGGATAGTTCGGGATCATCCACAAGGATGGCAGACTGATGTTTGAAGACTGAAGCGCTCCATTTGCCTTCATCAGACTTGCGTTTGTGGCGCTGAAATTTGAATTGAGAACACGAAACAGATGTTCAAAAATGAGACATACAATGCACCACATGATGAGGAAACCCAACACAGCCAAACCAGCGAGACAGCCAGTGATACCACCTATGACTGCAGCAATGTTAACGGAGCCTGAAGAGAGCTAGCAGTCGAATATGGAGTTGCAGATGCGATGGTTCCGGTACTGATCACAATTTTAGTTTGTGATCTGAATGTGGAGGTAGAGTGTGGAGTGACTGCCACTACGGGTGCCTATTAAATGATAAACAATCTGTATGTGTATTAAAGGCCAGGTATTGACCGTGAACAACACAGTTTGTGGGACTGGAATTGAGGAGGTGGTATGAATGCTTGAGGATGTGGTTGATGATGAAGTGGTGGTTGAAGAAGGGGAAGTAGTAGGTGGGGTGGAAGCAGAGGATTGTTGGGTAGGAGTTACAGGGGCTGCGGAGGCGGGGGTGGAACTAGTGATGACTGGAGCCAAACTATTGGTGGGTGCTAAACATTTGTTAGCATTGACATTAAATTGCAAGCACTATAGTGAGCTTACTGTCAGACTTCGGTGCGGCCGAGGTCTATGCGCTAGTAGGAGTAGCAGTCAAGATAGAATCTGGTATAGATGGCTAAAACGAGCAGCCAAGCGCATGTGGCGGGCCTTTCCAAGTCCTGATGTGCAGACATGGTCAGTATATTGGTTTTGGCCGCGTATTGATGTTATTTGTAAATAATGAGAGTGCAAAAGAATGAAAAGATCCTACAAGAGGATAAACGAAAGCTTATGGCAGCTAGTCCAGGACGTTGACGAGTGAGCGCTGTGGGGAACAAACGGTGGTCACACGCATTGTAGTCACTGTCACACAGCAGTCATTGGTTCCGCATAACAAGCTCAGGAAACCCAAGGACCACTACTCCGAAAATTGACCAAGTGCCAGAGGTATGTTAACTATTTTCAAACCTTCAACACTTCATGCAAGTTGTGTTTGTGTTTAGATAGCTACCCTTGACTCTACAAGCACACCTTCTGTGTTCTGGACAGAGGTTTTTTTGTGCGCAGATGGCCGGTGGCTCCCCGTCGATCCAATTCGTAGTTTTGTCGACAAATGCCATGTGTTTGACCCTTCCGCTGAGAACATATTCAGGACTGCACGACTTGCGTAGTTGCCTTTAGAAGAGGATGGTTTTGGTTGCGACGCGACTGGGCACATGAGAAGTTTTAGAAACAAATTCGGTTGCGCCACACGAGCACTTGCAAAGATACGCACAACAACTTGAAGATGAGTCATCAAAACCTTGTAAATTGGACAGTTAGATCTCAATTATATCTTGCGAGGATCAATTCCCCGCATGCCTCTCAACACGGGGTGCAATATTTTGGTGTGGTTGAGATGATGGTGTCGTATTTGCTTGGTGGGGTGGTATACAAGTACTCAGAGTACTCATGCGTTACAAGTCTTGTATACGATGTTCTTGCAGCGCAGTGTCACAGAACTCAGATGAATTAAATAAGGGAGAAAAGCAGACAGTCTAAGCAAATCCAACCGTAACCGATCATGATGAGCAACGCTTATTCCTGTATACATATTAATGTAAACCAAACTGAAGTTGACGAAAGTAGAAGACGTGCCTTCTCCAGTGATAGCATAAAAATGAGGTCTCCCTTGATCTTGGGATCCTCGTATGGTCCACATGCGAAGTGTGAAATGATGTCCTTATCTGTGACAAGGACAGCAGGTTGACTCGATCTATTGTATGCCACATCACAGCCTGCATAGCTCAGTCCTTGGAATGCATGCCGCGACGACAGGCAATCAAATGGGGCAACAACAAAGAAAGTTAGTGACTGCCGAATGTTATCTTTGCCCCGCTGTGTGTGAGAGAATATGTTGTAGATATGACCATATCGCCTTTCTTTGTTGTGAGATCGATAAACCACCAAAATATCTCGTGCAGAGGCTGATGCAGTCGCAAATGTTTCTCCAAGTCGAGTGATGTAAGTACGTTGGAAAGCCTCTGGCCGTACCTTTGGTAATTCCAGATTTGGCACTCAAATAGCATACCACTCTTGAAGAAGGCGATGAATTGAAGGGGAAAGTGGGGTAAGGTCACGCTCTGACCAGGTCACCTCTGCATGCCATGAATTGAAATGCTCATCATAAGCAAGCATATCATTGACAAGAGTACCCCGAATGTCGCCCTCGAAGGCATGTTTATACTCTGGGATGAGCTCCCTCAGCTCTGATGGGAGTTTTTCAGCACAAAACAGTGCACGCAGGTTTTGGGCCTCGCAAAAGCGATTGAACATCGTCTGCTCGAGTTCACCTGTAATAAAGTTAAGTCACAGTGATGAGCAGGCGGATCACACTGCACACCGAACTTCATGTTGGTTGGAATCTGTTGTAAAAGAAAATTGTAGCGTTCGAAAGGAAAGCAGCGCCAGGTGTGGACTGGACCCCACAGCTCCAGAATTTGTGGGAGATGGAGAAAAAGGTGATGACATGGCACAACATGTGCACCAGGATACAATAACTTCATGTCAGTCAGATACCGCACCATGTGGAGGCGATATTGAGAAATGTGCTCAGCAGTCATAGTCCTCATGTGAGCGAATCTGACAGCAATGATCAGATCCATGAAATTGCGGTACATCTTGAATTCCCTGCTATCATCTGGCTGAGAGCCCCAGAGACGACCCAATGTGTAGACGAGGTTGATGGTGCAAAGAGAGCGCCATTCATCTGCACCCAACTTTCCACACTTTGTAGATCCAGCATTGTTCGGTGCTGCGGCAACCCATGAAGGTAGCATAAGATGTGTCATGTCATCCCAGACATGTTGGAGGGTATGTTTGCCCAGAACCCACGTCACTTTCGCCTTCTTACTCTTTGACTTCTTGACCTTGATTGTGTCGTTCAATTTTCCTTTGTCATCAATCACACCGGTATGTACACGCTGCAAGTTAGTGAATCAGGGTTCGAGCATTTCAAGAAAGGGTCACTGATGACTCACCCAGTCTTGCAACTGCTGTAACAGGCCGTCCTTGGTGAAATTCTTCTTAAAATACACAGGTTCTCTCTCTGCGCCAATAGCTTGCGTATCCATATCGAACTCTGCAGGAGCATCACGGATTGCCGCATTCGCACCCATGTTCCTTAGTTTCAAGGCACAGAGTGTGGCAAGGACCGCTTTTTGAAATCGCATCAAGCCCCCTGCGGAATTCTCCAAAAGAACAATCGCATCTTCGAGACCACCCTTCATAACTGCTTCAGGTTCGGATGGTGGCAAGACTGATTCCACCTCGGGCTCAACAACTCTATTCCCATGCGCATCAAACCATCCATGATCGATTCTCTGTACACCTTGCCGTCAGCCTATGAAGTCTTTTTACTAACCAAAAGCTGGAACTTACGTATTGAATCAGATTCTTGAGTAAATACTTTTTCCTTCCAGCAAATCGGACCGTCTGTAGCTCATGACAGATGCAATAAAGGACTTTTTCGGGCAGCTTCTGCAGCTGCTCTAAGCTTCCTTCTCGCAAGATACGCATACCATCTTGCACTTGTTTTACAGAGGCAAGATCCACCACCTTATCGAATGTGATGCCAGGTCCGTCCTTGAAGTCTGCGTCCATTCCCCAGATGTCCCTGCACTGTCTCTTGAGATGACCGAGAAGAAGGGTGTGCATAGAGTCGATGACAATGAACTTTGTAGTGTCCCAGTAGGGAAGCCTGAGTAATTCTGACCACCGAACTCCAGTTTCGGTATATATATTCGCTCGTTCGGCTGTTGATTGAGCATCTTGCCAACAGACGGCTGATTTATAGTGCTCATCTCTGGTCCATGGACGCCATGATTGCCAATCAAGATCTTCAATATCTCTGATGGTCTGGTGGCAGAAAGAACAAAAGCGAAGGTGGGAACAGGAGGCAAAACCTGACATCTGGCGGGTGGCGGGTAAATCACATACCAAAGGACCTAGGGCAGCGCGAATAAGTCGACCAGTTTTGGGGAGGGAGGCAGTCCAAGTAAGTTGTACTCCTTTGTGCCATAGAACAACCAGATCATCCATGACAGGTCTAATCAAGTGGTTAATTTGGTGTTGGGACGGTTCACGAGGTCCAGGGATGATTCCAACCAGGCAGATGTTTTCCACCTTATAGTGAATAGATGGAGGGAGGTTGAGGCATACAAGATAGATGGCACCAGATGACACTTTTTTGCCAGCTTCCCGCATTCTGTAAGGATTGAAACCATCAAAGCACATGCTAAAAACCACCCTCCCTTCGTCGTCCGGTGCATCGAGGAAATGCTTTTCATCAGGTCCGCGGAATGTACAAAGTATCTGAGCATCCCAAATGTCTTGAACTATGCTAGGCCTATGACTGCCATCTTTCGGAGGGGTGCGCTTTAGATGCTTCTCAATATCTGAGCGGGAGTACAGTCGAGCCAGCCAATGCTGCACATCCTGACAAAGGAAATGCCTAGAAGGAGTGATGTGGGTCTTGCGATGATTACGGACGGTTTTAGTTTTCTGTAGCTTTCTACCGCATGTGTCGCTGGTGGGCGTCTCGCGGTAAGTACAGTGTGTAGGGTATGGGGAAACTTCAGGGTAACAACAAAAGCAATCAGGACAGCACACAAACAACTTTGTGGCAGGAGCGAGGTGTAGATTCTCTGCAACAAGGCGGATGTCGCCTGGGACACTTGCAACAATAGGCTCGTGACTGAGTTCACGGTTTTCCCTCCCTAATGCCAAGCTCCGAGTGATCACCATCCGCAGACCAAAAGCAAGTAGATTGCAGTGAGCCATAGAAAGCCCGCACAGAAGGTGAACTGCAGACAACAATAAATGGCACAGGAACGATATTGGCTCCCTCTCGAGTGAAGAATGCTTGTGGTATTGCTCTGGAAATGGCTAAGCCTTGACATAATTGAACATCAGACTTAAGACTCACCGCATTCAATCACTGGCACATCATTTGGAACCACTTTCTTTGTCTTTCTTTTGGCTCGAAGCTGACGCTTCCACTCCGCAGATTTTAATTCTGTAATAATGACGAGCTCGTTCCGAAGTGCTTTTTGCGCAGCCTTTGAGCGAAGGCGAATGTCGACATCGGGATGCTTTGATCCATCCTTGGCAACTTGATACGACTCGAAAAGCCACTCCTCATAGCCAATCATTTGAGAATTTGCAGGATGTGCGTCATCGATTGCGAATCGACCCATATTGATGAATTGTTCAATGTTCGGTAGATGTTCTACTACCGGTGGGCAAGTAGAAGAGGCTTCAGGAGGATCAATGAATACCAACCCCGATGCAACAAAGTCTTGGATGCGAGAACTCTTCAGTTTATCTTCAAAGTGATGCAGGAGGTCCACGTAGGTGGATTTTGAGGATGACAAGTCCTCCATATCCCCGGACTCATCAAACCGAAGACTCGAGGAATTGACCTTGAAACAGAGATTTGATCCTTCACGAATATATCCAATGTAGAGTGCACAGGTGGTAATTGTCCACTTAGTGAGACTGCATGTAGTACACGCGGGACTTCAGTGGGTGTAGCTTCTGCTGGAGCCAGCCCACGCTTTGCTTCCCTCCTTTGATGGGCTGCGTGCTCTTTTGCACCAATATATTTTCCTCGAACAGGAAAGCCGGTCACCAAATCGATACTAGTTTCTGGAAAGCATTCTGCACAGACGCAGAGCTTTTGAGTAGATGGGGGAAGCAGAAATTTTTGTCCTAGGGGCTGACCGTCCTTCAAACGAGGTGGCATGATTCTGTCCGTCACGGTTGAGCTCAGGGATCTGTTGAGGGTGGCAACAGCAACTAGTAACAGACCAACATGCAATACTAAAATTTCTATGTACGAAGATTTGCAGGTGACAATATATATAATATCGGCCATTCATTGCTTTGTCATGATTAGCCTTGCATGTATAACCACGTGAAACATCACCCACTGCAACTCTCTTCTCCTCCTAAGTCCTCACAGCCCACACTTGTAAAGCCCCACCCTTCCAGCCTGGGAACTTGTACCATGCACGACAGAGAGCCTCCGAGATGACTATAGCTTGCAACGGATGGGGAGGGTGGACTGCCCAATGGTTGACCAGCGCTGTAGGCCTTCCCCCAAACACCCTGCACAAAAGATCCAGTGGAGCTGCTGTGTTGCATTGTGCTAAACCACTGAGTGGCGCCACAGCTTGCTGAACCTTTCTAAAGTAAAGGTCGATCATTGAATGAAGAATCACATACAATTCTCACTATCATCTTTTTTTGTCAGCTTTTTCCAAAACAAACACGGGGAAGGATAAGCTGGAGATTGAGATAAAGAACATGCCCAATTGAGTCTGGGACCCACGGTACGCATCCAATGATCGGCTTTGTTCGTGATGTACCGTGTTGAGCGGTTGAACCAAACATTCAAACTGAAAGTCACCGTCTTCATTTGCACACTTTCTTTTGGCCATAATTTCTCCGACCTTTCAGCGCTTCAGCCCACGCTTGCCTTCAGCCCAGCTAGTATATGGAGAAGGAGATCACGAAAGAGATAGACAAAGATATTTGTTGTATGTGCTGTCCTACTATAAAATGAGCTAATTGTGCTGGTGACAGATTGATAATCTGACATGTCTGATGATTTTACAGCACTCAGGTCAGTGTGTCAGCTGGAAGACAATATATTCAAGTACTCACCTTATGACAGGAAAATCTATGCTTGCTTTTGGACAGGCATTACATCGTGCCGATGTAGAGACTCATTCCTGAGTAGCCTCACAATGGCCTATATTGCAATGTAGGTCAAGTCCACAATACTACGCATGCAACACGACACTAGCGCGATAAATGCGACATAGGCGACACAAACGCGACATAGGCGACACAAACACGACATAGGCGACACAAACGCGACATAGGCGACACTTGCGCGCCTTAGGCGCATTTTCCCATGCCTAAGCGCCCTATGGCACCTGACTTCCCAGAGTGTTTTCCCATGTCCAACCAAGTTCCCAGGTATGTATTTCTCCATTGATCATTTATTTCATTATCGTACCATGTTGATTTTCACTTGACATTACACTTTACCTTCAACTACCATCATCTCACTACTACGAGTTTTTTACTATGTTTTGAATATATCATTGCAAGCCCTAGTAGCAGTTAGCTCTAGTGGTTACATCCGCATCGCACCTCACGCCTTAACGTCTCAGTATTGTCCGCATACCGCTTTCGCCCTGTTCCGCTTTGCAACGCGCGACTTTCCCGTGCTTCGCGCCTCTATAGCGCCTTGTTCCCGCGCCTGTCGCCTTATTGCACGCTTCGCGCATTCCCCCTAGAGTTGTCTATATTCGTGGATCTCAGCTCTCTTGCATCCCCTAAGGGACGAACATATTGCACACTATCTTCCTCCCTTCAACATATATATCAGCTGCACCCTCAGCTGAGTTGAAGATCCTTCACCGAGTCAACGACATTCGGAACTTAGAGACACGGAGTGCTGTAAATGTTTTTGCATTTATCTCAAACCCTGCCGATGGCATTGAATGTAAGTCATGTACTTTAACTAGAATATATATCTACGTCCTAACTGATTTCATGCAAGATTTGGTTACTATTCTCAGTGCAAGTGATATAGACTTCACAGTTCAACGCAAAATTACTCCAGACTGGGACATCGAAATCATTGATCATAATGATGTGTGCTACGTAATACCTTGAATCAATTATCAACCGGCCTCATGTTTTACAGGACATAATACGCTTGCGCTGGACCATCCCATCCCATAGTCCTGGTATGGTTTGGGAAGTGACATTCGACAATAATCACGTTCGTCGAGATTTCTCTGAGTGTTTAGTCTCCTATAGAGAATATGCATGTACACAGTTGGAGGTGGGCCTTTGTGATGCATTTAGCACAGACTTCAATGAGCTCCAAAATCCTGACAAAGACGAGGGACAATATATTTTGGTTTAGGCGAGTACGTAATCACTCCAGTTCAATACACAAAGACGGTCAGTTCATTGTGCGTTGGATTATTAACTTGCTTGTGCTTCTGCAGGTGTGCAGCTCATTCTATTCATTCAGGCAGCCCTTGTAGCATGTCTTATGCTTGTCTTCCTTGCATTGATTTTCATACTGCTGCGTGATTCCCGAAATCGAAAAGCGCCTCACACTTTACAATCCCGATCCTCTCCCCGTTTACCTCAGTGGTAAGCTTTGTAAATCACCATTGCAAAGTTTGGATCATTTTCAAATCGAACTTAGGTTGACATGGCTGACGTGGTGTTCAAATGAATTGATCTACTTCCCAGGGTTTGCTGCTGCAGCGCATAGTTACGTGCAGGTCACGTGCATGCGATATTGACGGGTTGCTTGCCCCCTCATGTGCAATGATTCTTTTAAGAGATCACGAATGGCTAGCTAGTCATAACATTCATAATTCTTTTCACCGTGTTGGACTTCGACACTGAGAAAATATTGAACTTTTGTAAGAATGCAGTCACATGAACAAACATATACAAATGCTGGACTGCACTTTCCAATGGTCTAAATATACTATCCAGGAGTCTGACAAAGCTTTCCGTAAAGTATTCTGGCTACACTGGCAGAAAGTCTGACTATGTCTCAGCTTTGTGAAAGAACCACTGACTATCTGACTATGCTTTCCAAATGCCTGACTATGCTGTTGGATACTCAATGTGTTCAGACTATGATCCCAGATACTCTATGATTTTGGATACCCTGACAATGTTTCCTAAAAGTCTGACTATGCTTGCGGACAATCTGACTATGATTTCAGATGGGCTATCTGTCTATGCTTTCAGATACTCTGACTATGCATTTGACAAGCATGGTCAGACTTTCAGGAATCATAGTCAGATTTTTGGAAATCATAGTCAGAGTATGCAAAATCAAAGTCAGGCCTTTTGAAAGCATAGTTATGTCTGGAAGCATGATCTGACTTTCAGAAAGCATGGTCAGACTATCGGGAATCATAGTCAGACTTTTGGAAATCATAGTCAGAGTATCCAAAATCATAGTCAGATATTTGGGAATCATAGTCAGACTTTTGGTAATCATAGTCCAGGAAACATAGTCAGATTGTCTACAATCATAGTTAGTGCATTCAAAATCACAGTCTGAAAGCATAGTCAGAACTCTGACTATGATTCCGGAAACTCTGACTATGATTCTCAAAAGTCTGATTATGCTTTCCGAAAGTCTGCAGATACTCTGACTATGATTCCCGAAAATCAGACTATGCTTTCAGAAACTTTGACAATGATTCTTGAAAGTGTGACTGTGTGTCCTGGAAGTCTGTGGATCCTCTGAATATGATTTTGGATACTCTGACTATGCTTTCAGACAGTCTGACTAAGATTCCGGACAGTCTGACTATGATTTCCAAAAATTTGACTATGCATTTGGATAGTCAGACTATGATTTCAAACAGTCTGACTAAGATTCCAGATACTCTGACTTTGCTTTCCAAAGGTTTAACAATGCATTTGGATGGTCTGTGGATACTCTGACTATGCATTTGGACAGTCTGACTAAGATTCCAGATACTCTGACTTTGCTTTCTGAAAGTCTAACTATGCATTCAGATAGTCTGTGGATACCCTAACTATGATTTCAGACAGTCTCACTCAGATTCTGTCAGACTATCTGAATGTACAGTCAGATTATCCAGAATCATAGTCAGAGTATCTGCAGACTGTCCGAATGCACAACCAGACTATCCAGAATTATGGTTAGACTATCTAGAATCATAGTCAGAGTTTCCGGAATCATAGTCAGATTATCTGGAAACTATCTGAATGCATAGTCAGAATTTCAGAAAGCATAGCCAGACTATCTGGAATCATAGTCAGACTTTTGGAAAGCATAGTCTGAGTATCTGCAGACTATGTGAATGTATAGTCAGATTATCTGGAATCAGAGTCAGAGTATCTGTAGACTATCAGAAAGCATAGTCAGACTGTCTGGAATCATAGTCAGAGTATTTGCAGACTGTCCGAATGCATAGTCAGGAATCATAGTTGGAGTATCCGCAGACAATCCAAATGTATAGTCAGACTGTCCACAAGCATAGTCATATGGGAAGCATATTCAGACTGTCTGGAATCATAGTCACACTTTCTGAAAGCATCATCAGACCATCTAAACCTTAGTCACACTGTCTGGAATCCTAGGCAGACTTTCAGACAGTCCGACTGTCATACTGTCCAGAATCATAGTCAAAGTATCCAAAACCATAGTCAGACTTTCGGAAACCACAGTCAGACTTTCAGAAACCATAGTTAGACTTTCGGAAAGCAAATTCAGTCTGTCTGGAAGCACAGTCAGAGTATCCACACACTGTCCAGAATCAAATCATGGTCTGGCTGTTGATAATCACAATCAGAGTATCCAAAATTCTAGTGAGCAGGAAGCATAATCAGACTATCCAAAATCATAGTCGGGAAGCATAGTCAGCATATCCACCAACATTCCAAATTCATAGTCAGAGTATGAGCAGACTTTCGGAAAGCATAGTCAGTGTATCTGGAATCATAGTCAGAGTATCCAAAATCATAGTCAGACATTTGTAAATCACAGTCAGACTTTCGGCACTCATAGTCTGAGAAACATAGTGAGATGATCTAAAATCATAGTTAGAGTATTTGGAATCATAGTCTGAAAGTATAGTCAGAACTCTGACTATGATTCCATGCTTCTGGCTGACTAGGATTTTGGGAACTCTGACTGTGATTTCCAACAGCCAGACCATGATATGATTCTGGACAGTCTGAATTTGCTTTCCAAAAGTTGGACTATGTTATCTGAAAGTCTGTGGATACTCTGACTATGATTCCAGTAAGTCAGATTATTGGTCAGAGTATCAGGGATCATAGTCAGAGTCTCCGCAATCATAGTCTCATAGTCAGACTTTCAGAAAGCATGGTCATAGTCAGAGTATCAGGAAGCTTAGTCAGACATTCTGCTTGCATAGTCAGACTTTTAGGAATCATAGTCAGAGTATTCAAAAGCATAGTCAGACTTTCAGGAATCATAGTCAGACATTCCGCATGCATAGTCAGAGTATCAGGAATCATAGTTAGACTATCTAGAAGCATAATCAGACTTAGAATTATAGTCATGCATAGTCAGAGGATTAGGAATCAACGTCAGACTTTCAGAAAGCATGGTCAGACATTCTGCATGCATAGTCAGAGTATTGGGAATCATAGTCAGACTGTCAGGAAGCATAGTTAGACTATGGGGAATTATAGTTAGACTTTCGGGAATCATAGTCAGAGTATCCAAAAGCAGTGTCAGACATTCAGAGAGTCTGACTAATGCATGTGGAATGTCTGACCATGCTAACCAAAGGTCTTATTTTGCTTCCTGAAAGTCTGACTATGCTTTCCAAAAGTTCAACTATGCTTCCCAAAGGTCTGACTATGATTGCAGAGACTCTGACTATGCATGTGGAATGTCTGACTATGATTCCCAATACTCTGACTATGATTCCTGAAAGTCTGACTATGCAAGCAGAATGTCTGACTAAGCTTCCTGATACTCTGACTATGACCATGCTGTCTGAAAGTCTGACTATGAAACTATGATTGCAGAGACTCTGAAGATTCTCAATACTCTGACTATGATTCCCGATACTCTGACTATGCATGCAGAACATCTGACCATGATTCTTGATACTCTGACTAAAGAATATTTTATATCAGTTCAAAAAATCCTCAGTAGTTCTGGACTTGTGCTGGACCCACATTCTTCACAAAAATGTAGGATATGTTTCAGATACACTGGATACAAATATATTTTTGATAAAATGAACTGCCTTATTGCAAAGATATTTTAACTTAATTTTCAAGTAAGATGAGTCATCTTATGATGATATGCACCCAGTTTAGAGCACTGAACTTTGAAAGGCAGATACCATTGAACCGATCACAGAAATTTCGTTCACCAGCTAACTCAAATCGAGCACCGTCAAAATTGTTTACGTCGTATCAAACACCGGCAGGCAATACCGGCCCCTCATACGCAAGCTGATGAACCTGCAATCAACCCCCAATTACACCATCATATTGGACGAAGTGAGAAAATTTTCGATGATTTGGGACATTATCTATGCAGTCATGCAGGGGATCCTGCCATAAAGGTAAGGTTTTTGGGGTGCTCAATTGTTGTTCTAACATCATGACGCAGGACTTCGTACCACATTTGATGGATCATATCCTGGGCCGCATAGGGACTCTTGGATCTTCGGTGGAGAACTCTGCCCATCACGACCAGGGACAACATTTCTTCAAGCTCAACAGAATCTACCACCACAACCTTGTCAGGCTTAACTATATGACGTACAACATTTAAAGGGCTCAAGACGTGATAAATCCTCAGACCCCCCATTGCAACATCATGCTGCTCCAGCATGGTGATGAATCCAATGTCAAATATTGTTATGCGAGAGTGCTCGGTATCCACCATATCAATGCTGTGCACTCAGATAATGTATATGAGTCCTGCCAAATAGATTTTCTTTTTGTTCAGTGGTATGAACTGATACAACACCATTCATGGGAAACACATGCTTTGGAATGAGTTCACTTCCTGCCATTGACAAACACAACCACTTTTGGCTTCATGGATCCAGGAGCAGTTTTGAGAGCCTGTCATATAATCCCTGCTTTTGCTCGAGGCCAACATAATCTGAACGGGGGGATTTCTTCCCTTTTGGGGGATAAAGATGACTGGCTAGAATACCAGGTGAGTGTTCTTACCCATAAAGTCATATCTATATCATCATAACGCGCAGCATACCATCCCCACTTTTCATGACGATACCGTCTAAGCCAGCTTCCTCCAGCAGTGCCAGGATATGGCCCATGCAGGCATGATACAGGTTGGCAATGGTTCGGCATCATGAAGCCTTGTTGGTGATGTGTTCAAGACGGGTAGTGGGAAGATAAGCGATGTCATATCCCATATATTCACGCTTCTCTTCCGGACTTCGGACCCTGAGATCCGATCCGGTCCGATGTATAGATCCGCTTCCGATCCGATTTACGATAAGCTTTCTAATTCATTTCCTGTTTCATATAACGTTAAACACAGCCTATTCGGTATTTCCTCTTCCCGGTGTCTCGGTTATGCTTATTACCGGTATGATTACTGATCCGTTAACCTATGTCTCATTTCCGACTCGCGTTTGATAACCTTTGCACATGCTTCGTACATAGCCTCGGACCTTTGCTTACTGATACTTCCGTTATCCTCATAGTATATAAACTCGTGTATATGTCCTGTAGTACCTCAGTTCGAATATCATCTTAGTTTGTCCTCTTTCTGTCCTCCGGACTTGAGTCCTCCTCACTCTTGTCACTCTCCGAGACTTCGGATAGATTCCGATAGTCTATATCCTCGGCTCTACCTTCGGGTAGTCTTTACTCTGTTAGTTTCTAGTTCGGATACGTCCGGATTAGCCTTATACGCGTTTCCGATATCCAGAAGACTTCCGGATATACTACGAGACCCGTCCGGACCTTCGGACGCGTTATCGTTAGTACTTTGAAATAAGGGACAGTACTTGGGAAAGGGGCACAGCGTACGAGCTGAGGCCGAAGTCCTTCGGATCCGATCCTACGAGAGTACGACCTTAACAAGCGAGAAGAATATGGGCACGGTGAGATGGCTTTCAGCGAATATCCTTTGGAATATTGCCAATGGTAAGGTAGACTAGGTAAGCTGTTTTGTTGTGGAACATTGTTACTTGAGTCTTATCACTTGAAATAATAATCAGAATGATAGTTGCACCCGGTTTGTGCTGATCAAGTTTTTTCTATCTAACACATCAGTTAGTTTCAATGAGCAGAAATCTTCAAAATATAAACTTACCTGAGTATCCCACCACCATTTACCAGTATGCATATCATAGTATAACCAGACAGTTTGTTCCTTGTCTGCATAGTGGTGTTCCAGTGCAAAGACTGAAAAATTGGCAAAATCTGGATCACCATACAAGGCTTTGACACACTCGGTGACATCCCTATAGAAAATGTCGAATGCCTCACCTGCAATGACAATTTGTTCACACCTGAACTTTGGGTGACTGGGAAGCTGCTTGTCGATTATCTTATTCAATTCCCTTGAGTTTTTGTAAGAAAGATCAAGCTGTTCATGGATTACGCGCGCTAGATACCTGCAAAGCAAAAGGGGCGCACATGCGCAAGACTAATCCTGGGATAAGAGCTGGATGTTGTTAGGAAGGTGAGAGAAGTCGAGTTTCTAAGCCCAGAGATGCATGAGTCTCTACAATGGACTGACTTTACGAATTGTGGCATGCTCAGCAGGACATGTCTTGCGGCAGCTATCAATGCACTACGTAAGTCTAAAAGTGTTACATTTGATGCGCTGCAACTAACCCTACAACAGAAGAAATCCAAATTGCAAATGACCAGCCTGGAAATCTTTTGCCACCTAATGCTGAGTGTGAGGTGGGCATGTGGGAAGACTGGGATGTCAGGGATGTCGAAGTTGACACTGGCCCAACTGTTATCCAAGCACATGTGGAATTGGTGAAGACAGCCTGTATGTTCTTTCATTATCATCATTGTTTATTCTCACTAGCTAATATCATACTGTATCAGAACACAACCATGCATGCACAGTCGTTGATTCCCCAACTCCCACATATGATGTCCTGCTTCCTTTTTGCCCAGCTCAATCCAAATGACCAACGCGATCCTTCAGAAGTTCCTCTTGCGACCTGTCCCCAATATGACAAAATCAATATTTTTAATTCGGCATGCTCAAGGTTTTTTTCCCCCAGTGATCACAGCGGCATTGGTGGTATGTGCCACGAGCACATTCATGCATGTCCAGCATGGAGAAAGGAGCACCCATGTTATGACTGTATCTTTGTTAACGTGAATCCAGACCTTGACGAAATGAGGGGTATGGATGTTGCTCGAGTACTGACCTTTTTCTCTTTTACTTACAGGACTGAGACTTATCCAAGTGTAGTTGTGCGATGGTTCAACACCCTCGGAGATTCACCTGATGAAGATACAGGGATGTGGGTGGTGCAGCCTGCTCACCATGCCAATCATGCCCCCACATATCTATCATTCATGTTGACTCAATCTACCACGCCTCTCACCTTATTCCCGTCTATGGTAGCCAATTCATTTCCCTCAACCTCTGGCACTACCAAACCTATGATTCCTTCCGAAAATTTTATGTTAACAAATATGCTGATCACTGCGCATTTGAAATCGTGCCCTAAACTCTCAATTTTCAATACAATGTACTTATTATGCTTAATTTGATTTCACTCCTGTTTCCCTTAATTTGCTTTCAGTAGTAAGGAAAAAGGACAAAAAGCAAGAAGCAAGAAGTCCTATACTCATCTCAACGAAAGAAAGACAAAATAAGTAAGGTAAGGAACCAGGTGTTTTACTGATGCTGTATCATTGCGTATTCAGAGGAAAATTTTCAGTGTCTTTTAGGTGTTGAAAATACTGATCCGAGATTGGATGGGAGAAGGCACTGATCGATCAAAGCAAGCAACGGACACCTCATGAGTCAAGCAGCATTTGAGACAATGGTTTAGAACACTGACTTTTTGTCTTTTGCAGGGTCAGCGATCTTTTTCTAAGAGCTCAGTTTGAATCCACTGTATCATCACATATTCAGAGCAAAATTTTCAGTGTCTTTTCAGTGTTGAAAATACTGATCTGAAATCAGATGGGAGAAGGCACTGATCGATCAAAGCAAGCAATGGATACCTCCTGAGTCAAGCAGCATTTGAGACAACTGTTAGTCTTTTGCAGTGTCAGCAATCTTCGTCTACGAGCTCAGTCTGATTCCACTGTATCATTGCATACTCAGAGCAGTATTTTCAGTGTTTTTTCAGTGTCCTTTTTAGTGTCAAAAATACTGATCTGAAATCAGACAGGAGAAGGCACTGATTGATCAAAGCAAGCAACGGATACCTCGCGAGTCGACATTCAGAACACTGACTTTTTTAAAGTCTTTCGTATTATCTCGGGGCCGCAGTGGACGTCGCGACTGGGAAGCACAAAATTCAGTATTTGAAGGGCTGGAATTGTCGTTTTCTAGCGTCGAAAATACTGAACGGACGAGACACTGAAATGAGGTCGAGCCTAGGCTCCCGAAGGAAGATAGTCGTTCTGCAGTGACTCATTGCGATCGTGACTGGGCAGCGCAACACGTCGGCGCACTTTTGATTCAGTATCATAAATACTGTAATCGGATCGACATGACACTGGGAAAACCACTGGTTAATATCACGGAAACCATGCACATGCGGATACGAGCTCTGTGGCAGCTAAGGATCGAGCTTCCGGATCTTCGTCTCCAACAGCATTAACGTATGAGTGACAGGATTCGAACGGTCAGTCGACGAGCACGTTCGTTCGTTCCATCTCGATGGGCGTCGATGATTTTAGCTTTAGTGCTGGCTCCCTGCCGGGGAAGAGGACTGGTCGACGTGGCACCATCCGCGGGGACATTGAAAGAGACGGCGACCCGGGTGAAACGGGATTTTGGATTTTAAACGGTGAGTCGCGACTATATGCGCGACTTGAGAGAGTAGACGTCAAGCAGGAATTGGTTTCTCCCTTCGACGGGTGTCTTATAGCGGGCGTGGCCCGACCGGAGGCACGACGAGATCTGCAAGCATCAAATACTGTGTAGCAAATGATACAGGAGTCCAGAGCATCTAATTGTAGGGATTCCAGGTCGCAGTCCAAGCATGACGGCCAGAGGTCGAAAGTCGAAGTCGAGTGCTTACATCCAATCGCTGGAGTTGTCGATTCTCACCAGTCTCGGGCACGCTTTCTGAACACTGGCTTCCATTCAGCCTGGATTTCCTCCATGGTCAGCTCAGATACCGGAGAAGTCGCACGAAATTCTTCCTCGTTTGGCGAGTGTTCTGAAGCATCCTGAGCCTGCCAGTGCGAGATCTGGATGAGGATACATGCGTCAGCGAATGGTTCGAGCGCGGATTCAAACGCCATGGCGAACTACATCTTGAGATGATTCGGTCTCATGTAGAAAGCTCGACGAGTCGTCAAGGTCAGATTCCGTCGACTCGGAATGCGACGTGTTTGACGATGGGTATGGCACGATGGTGTTTCCCTCTGGTTGGCACTTTCTGGCTAAAAGGAAGGGAATGTCAGCGTAGCTAGATGGCGATCTGGGCACGACTCGCTCAAGTAATCATCGACCCATCGTCTGAAATGATCTCGACCGTCCTCAGTATTTTCACCACTCTCTTGCGACTCGCCAAAGTCTGCGGGAACAGGTTGTTTTGTGCGACCTGCCGCTGCCTTCCGTGACTCGAGTTAAATGCAGGACGTAGTAAAGACGATGAAAGACGACCTTTGGTTTCGATTTGTCGCGTCCCTTCCGTTTCACATAGTCGCAATGGTTTTGCAAATATTGCTGGATAAGCTCTTTCACGGGCCAGCCGTGCTCGAACTTGGCGAGATACGGTATTCGCGACATGGCCTAGTGGTCGATATCAGCGCATATATCCATGTTAAATGTAACATATTTTGCGAAACCCGTACCTTCTTGGTTATAGAAGCCAAGACCAACGGTGACTGAAACCGAATCGTGGTATCGAGTCGGAGACCGTTGTTCTTGGCGATCTTTCTCACCTCGTACTGAAATGATGCGCTGATATGAATGGACGAAGGTACTCCGTGACGGTAGCTCACTCGCCTGTATTGAATTGTATGTAGCATCCTCCCCGTGGAGACGCATTTCGTCCTGTAACGCGAAGTCGCGTTTGGCGGCCCCCCTTGGACGTGGAATCAGAGAATCAAAGTTCTTTTCACGAGTCTTCAAAAATTTACGTCGAGGAGCCATCACTGTAGGTTGCACACCATATATTGAACTATCCAGTTATTGACATATGAATGAATCGTCACGTGACCGGGTCTTGGTACCTTTCCTCAATGTTTCGTGTCTACATCGAGCAGCATCAGGGGACGAAGGTGACAAAGCCTTCCTAGTATCGTCACGAAGCACCAGCAACGAATCTACCGCGACGGAACCAGCAGTATTTCTTGCAAAAATCTATGTGATGATATCGACAGTAATGAATCCGAGGATGACTGCCGTCCTCGCAGCGGAATTCGAAGGTGCGTCCTACACGATACAGGCATTGAAACGCGATCTAGACCTCGAGGTTCGTAGTCTCAATTCTCAATTTTTTTTGGTCCCATCTTCGTCTTTCGCCCAGCTCCAGAGTAATGAAATCGAGATCATCAACGGTATCCTTCACGACGTGTAGGAGATTGCGTTCCGGTGCAAACCTGTTCAAGTCGATGGAGGTGCGTTTCATCCTGTAAGGAGGGTCTGTAGTCGTCGCGTTAGCAAGCAATATATAACGCATGATCCCACGCACCAATGGCGACGCGAACGAGGCGTTACCGTTCTCTACGGTCGCATGAGCACTGACATCGTGTCAGAGACTCCTAGCAGCGCAGTTTATTGCAGGGGACAGCATCGTCGACGATTTTGTTTGAACTGAGTCCCGACTCCCCGATCAGTCGGACCAAGTCTGTGACTCCCTATGGACAAGACGGTTGTTGGCATGGAACGTGATGAGAAACGTGAGGTTGAGCTGTTTGGCGAGCCACGAGATCAAGGCTTCGTGAAGGGTGGACGTGATCTGGACTTGGAGCGCGTCTTCAAAGTGGCTGAATCTGCGGTTTGATGACGATCAGCGCGACTCGTCGTCAGAAATTGGGATGACGCGATCCTGCTGCGTCGGTTTCGTGAATACGACTTCCAAACGCATGACTAGCGTTCGGTTGAGCGTGGAACGTCGGATGAGCAAGGAACTCCCTCGTCCGTACTTCAACGAAGCTTGGCTTGCGAGAAAATCAGCGTTCGAGACAGAGGTTCGAAATACTCGCGAAATACTCGGGCGTTCGTACCTTGTCGAAAACGCGAAACGATACAGACCGGAGTCCCAGAGCCACGAGTCAAGTTACATCAGAGCAAACCCTCCTAGGGACTTGGGCGGTTTTATCGGCAGGTAAGTTTTGATCCCATTCGCACAGCTAGCCTGAGTACAGCACTGATCATGATGGCGTGTTACCTAATACCTAGTCGCTGATCCCACCAAAATTATAACTCCGACTTTAGGTAAGCCTTCAGCGCTCAGCTAGTCCAGCCTGGACGACTCAGTACTAGTAGTACTAGTGTTCCCTGCTTCACAGTGCGTCATGCGATTCTTCTGTTGCGCCTGGGACTGTCAGCTCGCTAGGACCAAGACCGCGCGTCTGATCCTTCTCGCAGAATGACTCGTATCGTTGGTCTCCGTGCAGTGACGACGAGACGCCACCCGCAATTCGACGCGATCAGACCAGAAATCGCAAGCCCTTAGCCGTCGTCGCAATGCGGCCGGGACGATTCCTAGCGTGAATCTGAATTCGCGCCAGAACCGCATCGAGAGGTGGAGAGTCGGGGAAGCAACCAGTGACCAAGGTGGGTTCTCCCCGCGATCCGCTTCATCTGCACCATCCATTCCGCTTCTGACATGCGCAGACGCTGCTCGGCGTGATCTCCAATTTGGTGTTTTAGTTCAGCGATCGCGCTCGTCGAAGGAGCTCGATGTTTTTCACCTCCATTTAATATCTATGTACTCTCATCAATCTATGTTTCTCCTTCAAACCACCTGCATGCGTGACTGTGCTGTGATATATTCATGTGCCTCAACGCCTAGCAACTCTACATCGAAGTAACGACGAAACGCCGACAACAAAAAATCACGACAGCGAGGGCCTGTGGGTCTTCATGCAATCCAACACAGCTTGCACGCATTTCTGAACGCCCCGGATGTGCTGACCCTCCAACGCTCTTTTGATGAGCTTCAGGTTGGATTCTGCGATCAAATCCTTGGCATCAATAATGAGGTCTGCTGCCTGGACATGGGGCTTCCCAAGCCCGTGCTTCTTAACCGCTATTTGAATGAACTTTTTGCTACTCATCACACCACTGTCGTTGACCTGGGAACGGGTCGGAATTTGTTGGGGACGGTTGAAGGTCTGTGGTACTTACGAACTCGATGAGCGGCACTACGTCCTCCTCGACGAGTTTGAAGATGGTCCAGGGAGCGCCGTGGTCATGGATGATTCTGCCGAACTTTGACCACCTGGGCTTGTGAGTATCGACCCATTGATCGACGATGATCACCACCTTGTGGTACTCGTCGTCGTCGGCAAGTTCGGACGTCGCCAACCCTGCCGAGGACTTTGAGGACGTATTTGTTGGTTTTGGTTTGATCGAGTCGCGCTTCTTCGTCGCCAACCATGGGGTCGAAGAGGACTGGTCCGTCGCTGATGTCTCAATCTGGAATTGTCAGCAGCAGCATTGAAGGACGCGACAGGTAGAACCTACGGCATTGTGCACCACTAGCTTGGTATAAGATTTGAGGAGGACGGGCCCATCAACTAACTCCCCCCTCACCTCGAATTCCCTCGAATCTGAGCGGGCAGTTTCTCTCCGTGTCAAGGGGATACTCCCATGGGACATCTGGATAGCAATGTCATGTTCGATATCCTGGAGCAAGCAGCTCTCGTTGAGCAGCGGCAAGACCGCTGAAACCACCTCTCCGATGGTAGTCTTGCCTGTTTCGTCGACGACGACTTCAGCACCCTCGATTAGGGAGACCCCATCGGAGTCGTCGTTTATTCTCAAATGCAGGACCAAGCGTGCCTTTGAGGGCTCGAGGGACGAATCCATCGCTGCGTCTATTACTTTTTGGGCTATGACACAGAATTTGTCTGTCGGATACAGAGTTATCGACGGAAACGCCTGTCTGGCGTTCTTTTTGAACGTCGCAAAGTTGTGCCTGGCTTTATTGCCATTTAAGACATCTTTCGCCTGTTGCAGGATCACAGAAGGGTCGTTGCTGGGCGTCGACATTTCACAAGCAAGGAGAGCGTCGACAAGAAGCACTGACCTCGAGCCATTATTTAGATACTTAAATTAAATAGCATATCCACTCGAATATAGTATAGATCAGGGCTGGTGTTCGTAATGGTATGCTACCGGTTGCAGTCCACTTTCTCATGGTGTATATACCGTCAATAGGCCGCGTCTACTGGCGAGCGTTATGGGGAATAGGTTGAGATGCGAAACGCGTTATTTATTTCAACAAAGGATGCCGTTTAAACGTCTGCCAATTTTCAGGCATTTGTGACAAAGGTAATAAGCTTCAAAGTACCATATACAACTGATTTGGTACTGACCTCGTAGCGTCCGCACCATATCGGTCAAAGACAATATGGGGTCAGGGTAATTTCTAAGACTTTTGCTCATCTTCTTGCCATCGGTGGCGATCAAATTCTTCCACGGTGCAGTACCGAAGAGATGAGTTGAGAGGATGAGCAACGTGTAGAACCAACCCCGAGTCTGATCGATGATAGTCTCTGACACGAAGTCACCCGAGAAGTTCTTGAGGAAAGACTCTTTATTTTCGAATGGGTAGTGCGCTGATGCATATGGTGTGCTGGAATGGTCACGTTGTCAATCTAGTTTGCAGGATCGGGGAGCCGAGGTACCTTCCAGATTCGAACCAGCAGTCGAAAACTTCCTCCACGCGTCTCAGCACGCCCTTCAAGCTGAATTGAACCTTGCATATGATCCGCCTAGAATATCCAGCGCCCGCATCAGTTACAATCGTTGGAGAAATAAGCTCGCGTGACATACATCCGTTGACGATTCTTCCGAAGCTGCGACCTGCGCAGTCCAGCCCCTCGTCGTGGTGGAGGGCAGGCCCCAACCTTTGGAATTTGTCATCGCCACCGTCTCCTGCAATGACAGTTCAGGCACACGAGGCTCTAAGCGAATAACATGAACGTGCTGCACAATTTGGTGGTATAGGTGTTCACGCCATAGAAATCAGAGGATTCTTTGACAACCTTCAGTTCTTCTGGTGTAAACTCCGGCAGATGCTCTCGGAGCATCTGTTTCATGTATTTCTGGTAATGACCAAGGTAGATCGGGTCCTGGCGAATAACATATGTTTGATTTAACGACTCGACAGAGCATATGACTTGAAGCTTACAGCGAACCATCCTATCAACCGTTCGTCAGCGCAAACTGGATGCTACAGACAGGGGCCAAACCTACCGATAGCGACGTCAAGGGCGTGCTGTGCCGCTTCCACATCTGAAACCACAGACGCGTGTTGTCAATATCCGAGCAAACCAAAAATTGTGCCTACTCAGTGTGCATCAGGAAAATGTAACTCGCTACAGAGTGCTACAGAGTGCTTACAGAGCGCTCTGTAGCACAATTGAACCCGCTGAAGTGGGCTATCATTAATGTATGGCATGGCCCAGTCACCATAATCACCAGCGCACACTGCTACTATAGAGGTTCCTTGTGACGATTCTGAGCAAAGCAACCGACAATTATCCGGGTGAGTGCACTAGGAATTTGAAAAGTAAACAACACAAAATGGTTCGCTGCCTTGTTCAGCCTGAGGTCGCTGCCTCTGTAATGACAGATGGACGTGGAAAGGGACATCGTGGTAAAGGTGTTCGATGGGCCGGGTTGCATGGTGTCAAATGCACCTGACAAGTTTAATCGGAGGAACGCACGCTTGTGAGTAGACATAGAAATGTATTCAACGAGTCATCGACCTTGCAGGATCAACGCTATTTGACGAAGCAGCTGGAACAGCATCGGAACTCTGCTTCCCACCAGTCTTTGGCGGTCGGTGCTCATCATGGCAAAGATGGCCAATCTCGCGCTTGATACTACAGACTTATCAGCACGTGCAACAGTGCGGAAATGAAGGACACTGACCTAGTTTGTCTGGGTATTGGGGTGATACAGCAGATACAAGGATATCTGCCATCCAGGCCGCGCGTTGCTCTGAGATGTCCTCTATTGCAGCTGCTCTTAACCAGTCGTCTTTGCGTTGCGGCTGAGCAGAGTCCTTTGAAAGACGGTCTAGGATCCTCTGCATAACTGTCAACCAGAGTCAGCCGCCAACGGAGTCAAACAAAAGCTGCAAATACCCTAGGTCCTCAGCATGTTCTAGAAACAATCCGAGTGGAGCAGGGGTGATTGCCAACGACCGAAGTTCTAGTTTCATTTCCTCGCACTCTGCTGAGGAGAGTCCACACCACGGGAGCAATCCTTTCGCTAAGTGGATCAGCGTATACGCCAAGGATATTATGTCGTCTCGGCAACTATAACCTGATCAAATATGTTGGCTGGACTGCAAGGTATCGTGTTATAAAGGTAAACTCACCTGTATGGGAGTGAACGTGGATGCTCACATACGGCAACGTGCCTTCGGCGCACTCTCCAGGTTCCGGTTTATGTTTTCCGGTCTCGTCGCGGTAGCGCTTAGCAAGTGAGGTTGCAACTCCCCATTAATCGGGAGTAGGATGTTTCCAGGCTTGATATCGCGGTGAACGACACCTCGGTCATGGATTTGATGAAGAATTTTTACCTATTCCAGTCAGCCAAACGAAGACCTCATTATTGATGCCAAGGATTTGATCGCAGAATCCAACCTGAAGCTCATCAAAAGAGCGTTGGAGGGTCAGCACATCCGGGGCGTTCAGAAATGCGTGCAAGCTGTGTTGGATTGCATGAAGACCCACAGGCCCTCGCTGTCGTGATTTTTTGTTGTCGGCGTTTCGTCGTTACTTCGATGTAGAGTTGCTAGGCGTTGAGGCACATGAATATATCACAGCACAGTCACGCATGCAGGTGGTTTGAAGGAGAAACATAGATTGATGAGAGTACATAGATATTAAATGGAGGTGAAAAACATCGAGCTCCTTCGACGAGCGCGATCGCTGAACTAAAACACCAAATTGGAGATCACGCCGAGCAGCGTCTGCGCATGTCAGAAGCGGAATGGATGGTGCAGATGAAGCGGATCGCGGGGAGAACCCACCTTGGTCACTGGTTGCTTCCCCGACTCTCCACCTCTCGATGCGGTTCTGGCGCGAATTCAGATTCACGCTAGGAATCGTCCCGGCCGCATTGCGACGACGGCTAAGGGCTTGCGATTTCTGGTCTGATCGCGTCGAATTGCGGGTGGCGTCTCGTCGTCACTGCACGGAGACCAACGATACGAGTCATTCTGCGAGAAGGATCAGACGCGCGGTCTTGGTCCTAGCGAGCTGACAGTCCCAGGCGCAACAGAAGAATCGCATGACGCACTGTGAAGCAGGGAACACTAGTACTACTAGTACTGAGTCGTCCAGGCTGGACTAGCTGAGCGCTGAAGGCTTACCTAAAGTCGGAGTTATAATTTTGGTGGGATCAGCGACTAGGTATTAGGTAACACGCCATCATGATCAGTGCTGTACTCAGGCTAGCTGTGCGAATGGGATCAAAACTTACCTGCCGATAAAACCGCCCAAGTCCCTAGGAGGGTTTGCTCTGATGTAACTTGACTCGTGGCTCTGGGACTCCGGTCTGTATCGTTTCGCGTTTTCGACAAGGTACGAACGCCCGAGTATTTCGCGAGTATTTCGAACCTCTGTCTCGAACGCTGATTTTCTCGCAAGCCAAGCTTCGTTGAAGTACGGACGAGGGAGTTCCTTGCTCATCCGACGTTCCACGCTCAACCGAACGCTAGTCATGCGTTTGGAAGTCGTATTCACGAAACCGACGCAGCAGGATCGCGTCATCCCAATTTCTGACGACGAGTCGCGCTGATCGTCATCAAACCGCAGATTCAGCCACTTTGAAGACGCGCTCCAAGTCCAGATCACGTCCACCCTTCACGAAGCCTTGATCTCGTGGCTCGCCAAACAGCTCAACCTCACGTTTCTCATCACGTTCCATGCCAACAACCGTCTTGTCCATAGGGAGTCACAGACTTGGTCCGACTGATCGGGGAGTCGGGACTCAGTTCAAACAAAATCGTCGACGATGCTGTCCCCTGCAATAAACTGCGCTGCTAGGAGTCTCTGACACGATGTCAGTGCTCATGCGACCGTAGAGAACGGTAACGCCTCGTTCGCGTCGCCATTGGTGCGTGGGATCATGCGTTATATATTGCTTGCTAACGCGACGACTACAGACCCTCCTTACAGGATGAAACGCACCTCCATCGACTTGAACAGGTTTGCACCGGAACGCAATCTCCTACACGTCGTGAAGGATACCGTTGATGATCTCGATTTCATTACTCTGGAGCTGGGCGAAAGACGAAGATGGGACCAAAAAAAATTGAGAATTGAGACTACGAACCTCGAGGTCTAGATCGCGTTTCAATGCCTGTATCGTGTAGGACGCACCTTCGAATTCCGCTGCGAGGACGGCAGTCATCCTCGGATTCATTACTGTCGATATCATCACATAGATTTTTGCAAGAAATACTGCTGGTTCCGTCGCGGTAGATTCGTTGCTGGTGCTTCGTGACGATACTAGGAAGGCTTTGTCACCTTCGTCCCCTGATGCTGCTCGATGTAGACACGAAACATTGAGGAAAGGTACCAAGACCCGGTCACGTGACGATTCATTCATATGTCAATAACTGGATAGTTCAATATATGGTGTGCAACCTACAGTGATGGCTCCTCGACGTAAATTTTTGAAGACTCGTGAAAAGAACTTTGATTCTCTGATTCCACGTCCAAGGGGGGCCGCCAAACGCGACTTCGCGTTACAGGACGAAATGCGTCTCCACGGGGAGGATGCTACATACAATTCAATACAGGCGAGTGAGCTACCGTCACGGAGTACCTTCGTCCATTCATATCAGCGCATCATTTCAGTACGAGGTGAGAAAGATCGCCAAGAACAACGGTCTCCGACTCGATACCACGATTCGGTTTCAGTCACCGTTGGTCTTGGCTTCTATAACCAAGAAGGTACGGGTTTCGCAAAATATGTTACATTTAACATGGATATATGCGCTGATATCGACCACTAGGCCATGTCGCGAATACCGTATCTCGCCAAGTTCGAGCACGGCTGGCCCGTGAAAGAGCTTATCCAGCAATATTTGCAAAACCATTGCGACTATGTGAAACGGAAGGGACGCGACAAATCGAAACCAAAGGTCGTCTTTCATCGTCTTTACTACGTCCTGCATTTAACTCGAGTCACGGAAGGCAGCGGCAGGTCGCACAAAACAACCTGTTCCCGCAGACTTTGGCGAGTCGCAAGAGAGTGGTGAAAATACTGAGGACGGTCGAGATCATTTCAGACGATGGGTCGATGATTACTTGAGCGAGTCGTGCCCAGATCGCCATCTAGCTACGCTGACATTCCCTTCCTTTTAGCCAGAAAGTGCCAACCAGAGGGAAACACCATCGTGCCATACCCATCGTCAAACACGTCGCATTCCGAGTCGACGGAATCTGACCTTGACGACTCGTCGAGCTTTCTACATGAGACCGAATCATCTCAAGATGTAGTTCGCCATGGCGTTTGAATCCGCGCTCGAACCATTCGCTGACGCATGTATCCTCATCCAGATCTCGCACTGGCAGGCTCAGGATGCTTCAGAACACTCGCCAAACGAGGAAGAATTTCGTGCGACTTCTCCGGTATCTGAGCTGACCATGGAGGAAATCCAGGCTGAATGGAAGCCAGTGTTCAGAAAGCGTGCCCGAGACTGGTGAGAATCGACAACTCCAGCGATTGGATGTAAGCACTCGACTTCGACTTTCGACCTCTGGCCGTCATGCTTGGACTGCGACCTGGAATCCCTACAATTAGATGCTCTGGACTCCTGTATCATTTGCTACACAGTATTTGATGCTTGCAGATCTCGTCGTGCCTCCGGTCGGGCCACGCCCGCTATAAGACACCCGTCGAAGGGAGAAACCAATTCCTGCTTGACGTCTACTCTCTCAAGTCGCGCATATAGTCGCGACTCACCGTTTAAAATCCAAAATCCCGTTTCACCCGGGTCGCCGTCTCTTTCAATGTCCCCGCGGATGGTGCCACGTCGACCAGTCCTCTTCCCCGGCAGGGAGCCAGCACTAAAGCTAAAATCATCGACGCCCATCGAGATGGAACGAACGAACGTGCTCGTCGACTGACCGTTCGAATCCTGTCACTCATACGTTAATGCTGTTGGAGACGAAGATCCGGAAGCTCGATCCTTAGCTGCCACAGAGCTCGTATCCGCATGTGCATGGTTTCCGTGATATTAACCAGTGGTTTTCCCAGTGTCATGTCGATCCGATTACAGTATTTATGATACTGAATCAAAAGTGCGCCGACGTGTTGCGCTGCCCAGTCACGATCGCAATGAGTCACTGCAGAACGACTATCTTCCTTCGGGAGCCTAGGCTCGACCTCATTTCAGTGTCTCGTCCGTTCAGTATTTTCGACGCTAGAAAACGACAATTCCAGCCCTTCAAATACTGAATTTTGTGCTTCCCAGTCGCGACGTCCACTGCGGCCCCGAGATAATACGAAAGACTTTAAAAAAGTCAGTGTTCTGAATGTCGACTCGCGAGGTATCCGTTGCTTGCTTTGATCAATCAGTGCCTTCTCCTGTCTGATTTCAGATCAGTATTTTTGACACTAAAAAGGACACTGAAAAAACACTGAAAATACTGCTCTGAGTATGCAATGATACAGTGGAATCAGACTGAGCTCGTAGACGAAGATTGCTGACACTGCAAAAGACTAACAGTTGTCTCAAATGCTGCTTGACTCAGGAGGTATCCATTGCTTGCTTTGATCGATCAGTGCCTTCTCCCATCTGATTTCAGATCAGTATTTTCAACACTGAAAAGACACTGAAAATTTTGCTCTGAATATGTGTAGTGCTGCCGGAGTCTGGTTCCGAACTTCGGTTCGAACGTGAACCCTTCCAAACTGGACCATCCGTTTGGGCCGAGGTTTGACCTACTGTAAGGAACGAACCTATTATTAGGTTCAGTGTTTGGCTGATGCCTCAGATTTGCGAACCCGTCCGGACCCGTCCAAATGCATTCAAACTGTTCTTGCTTCTGTCTATGATCTGCTTGATCTCCAGAACGACTAAAACACTGAATGTATTTCTGTTAGTGGCATCTGACTTCCTCGGTGATCTACTCGACTTTTCAGTAAGCCCAATATTATTACTAAGTCGTCATAACTTGAGTTGTATTTAATGATGAGTCACTTAAAGTTGAACTCTTACTAATTCGCCACAGGGTTAATGTCAAGATCCCCAATCCTCAGTCAGTCTCTGTTTTTAGGAACCCTACCATCGTCATAGGTAGTGTTGTGCGGCCTGGGCTTGAGCAGGTATGGGCTTCCTAACATTTTGGCCCAGCCCTGACATCGGGCTTGGGCTGAAGCCCGGGCCTGAAATTGTAAAATAAGTGAACATGTCCTACAGTACAGATAGCATTGTGTGACAATGAAACATGGACTCGTAACATCATTCTAGACTCCCAGTCATACCATACTATCTTCACCAGAGTTCTCTGTACACCCATCAAGTAATTCATCCTCCTCATCTGCAGGATCTTTAGTCAATGACAAAGGTCCTGACTCGCGGGAGACCAGGTCATGACGAAGAAGGCATTTCATTACCTGTAATGCCTCTACAACATCACCTTTGAGACGGTTGTGGTGCTTTGTAATCGTTAGCGCAGCTGAAGAAAATGCATGCTTACTCAAGACCGATGAGGCCATGATTCCTAAGAAGTCACGAGCAATAGCTGTCCAAACTGGCCCATACCTCATTGCATTTAACTTTCAATAGATTCAGTATCTTCGTTGAGTGAATTCATTAAAGAATACATACCCCCCACCACTGAACAATGGTTTGGTTTTCGGCAAGCTGGTCAAACATATTCACATAGTAGTTGAAGTCTTGTAGCCAAGGTTTCCGTGGGTCGATTGATGATGCTGATGCCTGTGATGGAGCTGAAATGTCATCGTCATCATCTTCCGTGTTGTTGTCACTAAGTTCCCGCAGAAGCCGAGTAACTTTGCTGCCAGATCCACGACCTTTCCTTATGGGAGCATGGTGCTCAGCATCACCGTGAATGTGCACATAATACTTCTGAAACTGATCATATGGTGTCAAATAATTGCCACGATGATAATTTAAAAACTTACAATATGTTCTGCATTCTCGCGAGCCTTGTGTTGCAGACCCTTGTCCCAATACTTCTTGAAGTGGTTCATCTTCTCATTTGGATCAAGTACTGTTCATCAATTCAATCAGACGTTACTAGGTAGGACTAAAAACAATAAGTTATAACTCACACATCGCTATGATATAAGCATCAGAGCCACCAGTCTTCTCATAGTAAACCGTGATCTTGTCTATTGCAGCTTGAAGGGGTTGTTTGAAGTGGCCATACTTTGGTCTTGCAAGTCTCGAATTCCATGCTTTATGTAGTGCTTCTAGTGCTGGAATGGCAAGGTGTAGACTCGGGTGTCGGTCAGATGAAAAGGCTTGTTGCGCGTGATCTGCATGCTTTAAATAAGATGTGAATATCACACCGGAAAAGCAAGCCAGATGATGAGAAATGAGAATACATACAGCGAGGAGATCGAGAAACAGTTTGACGCAATCCCATTCATCATTCCGTAGCTCTAACTCGCCAATCTTCTTCCGCTTGTCCAAGTTCGGCTCCTTCAGGCCCATTTCATAGATAAAGGTATTGATATACTGTATGCCACACATTATAGGATTAAATATGGCACTGCTAACATTACTTACCTGTCGTTGTGTTTCTGCGCGCTCTAGCATCGTAAATGTTGATGACCATCGAACAGGCATATCGAGCAGCAGCTGAAGGGGGCGTTCAACACCCTCTCGGATCTGGATGTCCTTAAAAAGTTGTTTCCGTTGTGCTGATGATCGTTCCTGTTCATTCAGTTTAGTTAGTAGTTATGAATCAATCAAATTATATATACCTTCACGGAGATTGCTCGAATGAGCCCAACTTCGTCTCAATCACGCCCCATAGTACTTGGCACATGCTCTTCGGGGCTTGCAGGGTTATAGTATTTTGATTTCGTATGAGTCTTGATGAGTGCCTGTGTTGCAAGATTGATAATGTGGGCAAGACACCTGGGCAAAGCATCAAACTAATACACCCTAGATTAATTGATGAACTACGTACCGGATGCGGCGTCCCTTTGCATCAAATTCCTTCCCCATCTTCTTCATAATCTGTTCTGAGAATTCATCCATCATTGAGTCATTATTTGTTACGTTATCACAGGTAATATGTCCAATCTAAACATGATATGAGAACATGAGGACTCTCAACAGAATTAAACCCTACCTTGTGTGAGATGTCAAGTCGATCAACAATCTTGAAAAGGACCTGACCGAGGCATTGTCCATTATGGGAGTTATTGAGGACTGTAAAGCTGAATAGTGCACTTTCAAGCTCCCATATGCCGGGTGATAGCTCTTCGATCCAGTGGCCAGAGACGGCAAAGTACCTGTCAATATTGGAGGCTTGCCACGCATCGCACGCATTGCTAACCTCGCCTTTCACAGCATCACTCTGAAAATAGTGATCACAATGTATATATAATTTAAATAAAAGCATGAAGCCTACATTCAGCCGTTCACGAAGGTGTTTCATCTGTTTTTGAAACATAGCAATGATCTCGGCCCGCGTTACTTTACGATCTGGAATTTTGACGCCATTTGTGGCCCTCGAGGCCATGTCAACCAATTTATGGAAGTTAGGATGGTCGAGTGCTTGTATTGGCTAATTGCTGTGGCTCAGACAACATGTTCGAAGTATGCATAAGTTAAATGACGGACCTGATCTGTGGCAATGAGCCACTCAGTCGCTGCCTCTCGGAACAGCTTATCAGAGTATGGCAAGATATGTTTAGCTTTCGGATGCTCATGTAGATGGTTGTCGAGACCAGTTTGACTTGCACTGGCCTTTAGCATGTTATTTCTGTGCTTAGCAACGGCTTTCGGAAGCATTGAATCAAATGAATTTTCGCCCACCCATTTGTTATATGTAAGCTAGAATGTACATTAAGCAATTTTACACACTCAAATATACTACGCACCTCATGATCCTTTTCAAGGTGACGGCAACAGGTTGATAAGTCCTTCACAAATCGTTTATGCGGACCTTTTTAGCTAGTATGGGTGGTGGTGTATCAGTAGTGACACGATGCTACCATCAAAGTTGATTCAGACTTACGAGCATAGCTTACAGTCACGGTAAGTGCGAGGCTTTCCATCAATACCATTTTCAGAGTACTTGGCACTGAAAAATTTATCAACATCTTGACCTCTATTCTCATGCCTCGGCTTGTCATTGCCATTTGAAAGGCTCGCAACATTGATATCAGCAAGGAAGCCACTGTCATCAACTGCATCTGCATATTTTTTTGGTTGCATGAGTGAGTTACAGTAACAAGGTTTGAAATCGCACCTTTGTTTTTCTTCTTTGATGCCTTTGTAGTGGTAGACAATGAAGGACTGCCAGAGCCAGTGTGTTCTGAGTCTGATTCAGACAAGATGGTAGTACTAGCTGCATTTCAAGACTTCTTCTCTGCACAAAGTGAGGTTGAGTGACATACATGGATAAGTATTTGTAAACCAACATACTCTTTGGCCTTTTCAGAGCCGTCGAGCTGTCATTGTCGTCTTTGCCACTGGAAGAGTGGTAGCTCAAATCGGCCTCAGATACATCTCGAGATCTTTTGATGCCAGGTGGTAGAACGTGAGAAGTTTCTGCCACTGCGGGAGGTAGTGGTAGACATTGCTGGTGTTGCTCAGATGCACGCTTGGCATCCTCGGCTCGTTTGAGGGCAACAGCTTCAGAGTGTGCACTGATTTCGGGAGTAGCGGTGTTAGATGCACCGGTTAATTTCTTCGAGGGAGCAGGTGCGTGTTTAGAACGCAATGGTGGCTCTTGGTCAGTTTGATTTGTTGCCGGCATATTTCTGACTGCAATGGGTTTGTATGGTCCGAGTCAATGGAAGGTTTCTGCATTTGAAATACATATATTAACTGTATAGATGCTGTCGCAATACTGTCGGCACGAACCGAGAAAGTAAGTTACAGGCCTGAGCCTGAGCCCTGGGTATGGGCCTGCAGATGTTGTGGGCCCAGCCCATGGCCCTCGTCAGCCCACTCATAGGGCTGGGCTGGGCTTCTATAGGGCTGGGCCATATGGGCCTGCGGGCCTGAGCCCTGGCCCTGCACATCACTACCTAGTAGCGAGCATGACCTCGATGCCAGTGACGTGCCAATGGATGCACTCCTTGACCATATGGCTTCCGGGGGTGAACACGTCCGTTCTGACTGCTGTATTGATGCAGATGGCGGACTTCTGTGTTCAAACCACTCCGAAGTCTATGATGTGGGTGACATTACTGCCGAAGATGTGGAGAGTGGCTCGAATAGTGTTCCAAAGGTTGATTATGGGCGTGGAAAGCGTAGATGCATCACAAATTCGATGTATGATGATTTCTGATCCCATTAGTGCATAATCTATGTTTTTTTTTCCATATGTCACAAATTAGCTTCGTCCCACCAAAAATTCATGTGACAGTCACACCAAATAGATTCGATTCGTTAAGGGCTGTGACCTGTGACGAACCTAGTGTCGTATCTCTACAGTATGAGATTTATACATTACTAACGTATCATTATGAAAAAGTGTACTGTAATGGTATAATTACAGTGACCGTCACGCTGTGACAGGCAGCAGCCGAGATGATCCTTATCATTTGTAATCTCATTGATTATCTCCTTCGGACCTAGAATCTTGGAGTTCTGACCTCACCTGCCACATCTGTGACGGGGCAACAGTGCACACTCATGCCTACTACCGCCATAGCAGCTCGCTCTAGCGTCAAGCTCAAGGATGATCATCACACCTCTTTCCCACCAAAGCTTTCAAACACATGTAGACGTCCGGCCAACACCACAAATGTCTCCCGTCTAGCGCAAACGATATCCCAGACTGGGGCCACAAGTGCCAGTGCGCTGCTGAACAAAAATTCCAAGCCTGATCCCGTTAAATCTGATCCTGTATCCACAGACTTGTCCCCAAAAACCAAACCTGCAGCACAACAATCTATCAAAACACTCCTGCGGCATCCGAGTCAGGCTGCCATACCAGTAGAAGAGGAGGTACAACTTGAAGAGCCTGAGAACACAGTTGAACTCTCCACTACTCCCGTGGCTACCCAACCTGAGCTTGAAGTCGCTGCAGATGATGTTCCCTTGTATGATGTGCAGCAGTTCTACAATTCTGAACAGTTTACCCCCAGTATGTTTCAATGGAAAGTTGACTTTTATTTGATTCTAACTGGGCTGAAGTTGTGGAGGAGGTATGGAAATATTTAACTGGACCTACTCCAGCAAAAAGTCATATGGTATGTCTTCAGCCACGGTTCAAGTTCAACTTGAAGTTGACCCGCGAGTCACCAACCATTTGCTTACCAAATATCACAGGAATTTGCTGGCGTGGGACCACGAGAATTCGAATTAATAGAACACGCGGTGAGGGAAACGGGCCGAGTAGCGACGAAGCCAAGGTGAGCCAATGATGCTAATCTATTTCGAGGATTGCTCAATTGGGCGCTTCAGGCTCACATACGACTATATCGAACATCTGCTTGTCATCGATATGCCTACTGTTCTGCATGAAGCATTCTACGACGACTTGAAGAAATCGTTCACGTTCGCGATGGATTATATCCCTTACCATCGCAGGACCATAAATCCACAGGTTCATATGAATTACCCGCTCCAGATCACAGACAAGTCTGTCACGCCTGATATGGCGATCTCGTTAACCGTGCGCCAAGGACCCACAGAAGTTCTAATCATTCCTTTCGTTGGAGAGACCGCTGTGACGGAAGAGTGGGATCACGTATTTCGGAAGGTGGAGTCCATGATTGAGGAATATCCAGAGGCGATCTTTGCATCAATCGTCCTCGTACGTGAGGCTCGACGTTATGTCTGTCCTGCAAGAAAGTCTACCGCGTCAAAGACGTTGCATAATCGTAAGCCCGACGATCTTCCCGGCGAACCTCATCCCCTTTCCCTCAAATCTTTCATCAACAAATGTTCTACGCCACGCACTTTCGAGCAGCCTGTTAGGATCGCCAATCACACATGGTGTCATGTTCAATCGGTTGAATATTTCCTTTGGATTAAAGGAGATGACGATAAACCGATTGACATGCGCAACGGAAAGGCTGAGCACAGGGCCCATGGGGTAAGTTATCGTAGTATTGTGCGAGGCGTTCTGACTTCATTTAATCAAGACCTTGGTGCCCGAACTCCGTATGGATGCGATTACGAAGCTCCTCGACCGAGGAATGGAAAAACTTAGAGATTTATTCTTTTCCTTTCAGAAAGAATGCGACCATACCTCTACCATTGATCATTCAGTCGTCCAGAAGTTCGTCAACCCACCGTTTCCCATCGACTGGGAGCTCAGCGCGTTCAACATTATGTCCGCGGTGGATCTCACAGCGCACCTGCGCTACCTCAACTGGCATTCTGCACGTTTTCGAGACTCAAAACAAGACGGTGATTCGTCGTACGAGCCTTCGGAAGCGGAGGAAGGTGCTAATGCGAATCCCGCGTTGACTCGTTCCAAGCGTCGTCGTCGCCCTTCAAAAGCTCCTCCACCTCAGACGTTTCACAGTATCGCTATGGTTCCCGACGCGTCCATTTCTAACCATGTGGCGGCTGGCTCTAGCAGCAAACCCAAGAAGGATTCGGCTGGCAAGCCTAGACCTTCCAAGGGTGCCAAAACGTCTAGGGGCGGTCATAGCGGCAAGGGCCCGAACAAACGTCGAAAGGTTTAGGATGTCGTGCGGATTGCTTTTGTGGTAAACGGACACAGTATGATTCGTCAATGACTTTCATACCATCATGGTGTTTTCTCTCTTTTCACATACATCTTCGGTTCTCTGACAAATTGTTCATCGTTTTAATAGGCGAGTTACGTCGCAGCTCTCAGTTCAAGTATGTCTACCTTGTTTCATTCTGCCAAAACCTGTAACTACGTGGTACTACATTGTGTAAGTTTGATCAGAATCATCAGATGGATGATTAGATGTAATCACGTGAGACAACTTGTTGACATGCAACCACCACCATCAAATAATCCCAACTCACTCCATAGAGTCCATACTACCTCCTTTTCGCCCCCAGGACATACTCTTAAGCGAATTAGGTCTCTTGACACAACTTATCTTTGACAGGTACTCTCAAGGTGAAGGACTTCTTGTGGAACAAGTGCAAAATTCTTGTCATTGGCGCAGGTGGTTTAGGATGCGAGATACTCGCCAATCTTGCTCTGACTGGGTTCAAGGACATCCATCTCATCGACATGGACACGATGATCATGATCGACATCAGCAATCTTAATCGTCAATTTTTATTCAGGTGTGTCACATTTATGAGATGGCATGTGTGTGCTGACCTAGGGATCAGTTCCCTCAAGACCTGCAGACGTTGGAAGACCGAAGGCCATAGTTGCTGCAGAGCATGTGATGAAACGGGTGCCGGGAGTCAAGGTCACTTCGTAAGTTGGCAATTTCTTGCGCACTGTGCGCACCATCTCTGATATGCGAGGCGTGTAGGTACTACGGCAAGATACAAGACAAGGGCGACGATTATTATTTGCAATCTAATCTCGTCATCTGTGGTCTAGATTTTGTGGAAGCGTGTCCGTGGATTAACGCTACTCTCGTTAACCTAGTGGATCCAGCGAATCCTGAGAGTTTGAAGACCCTCAGACGGTGATACCGAAGGTGAATTGGTCTCTTTTATTTTGCTGCGCGACTTCAATAACTGTGAGAAGGTTTCAAGGGGCAAGCTCGAGTCATTCTTCCGACTAGATCATCATGCTTTGAGTGTTCCCTTGATATTCTCAACAAGCCAACCACATTTCCTATCTGCACCATCGCGAATACGCCTCGTCTCCCTGAACACCGTATAGAATGGGCCTCTGTGCTTGAATGGCCTCACACGCGCGGAGGTCAGTCTCGCTGGACGTCCCATTGTTCTAAGAGAAACTCGATACTGATGATCCTGAGCACATCGGATGGTTGTATTCGATTGCAACAGCAATTCAAGATTGAAGGCGTGACTGGGTCACTTACGCAGGGTGTTTTCAAGAATGTCATCCCTGCAATCGCATCAAATAATGCCATTATTGCCGGTATGTCAACACCCACCCTTACTCGATCTCTCTGATGGGAGTGTTGACAGCTTCATCTTGCAATGAGGCTTTCAAGATTGCAACAAGTTCAGCGGCTTATCTGAACAACTACTTCATGCTCATTGGGACTGAAGGAACATATTCGTACACCTTTGAGCATGAAAAGCGCGATCATTGCCCTGTTTGCGGAGGTGAAGCCCTGGAGATGTCCATCATGATAAGTCGTGATTGGACTGTCGAGCAACTCATTGAACTTTTGACTGAGAAGCAGAACATGTATGTATTCATTACTCTTTGACATCCATGGCTCACCCTGGCACAGTCAGATTAAGAAAGCGTCTCTCGCAACACCAGAAAAGCCAATTTATTTCCATCAGCCACCTCAGCTGGAAGAAGCTACACGCCCGAACTTGGAGAAGAGAGTCTCGGAACCGAGAATATCGCGAGTGTCATTTCCCTCTTCACCTGGTGCTTTGTCTGACGGTCCGGCACAACAGACCTCTCCGTTCCTTTCCTCTCTCCCTGTCTCTGCCACGGAACTTAGCATACAGACTCATGTCATCAATTCGTTACCTCAAATACCTTCGTCACAGTTGCGTTCGGTCGTCCACGTCGCAAAATCACGGTGCGCCAGTCCGATCTAGGTGGCGTAGAAGCATGCGTGGGAAAGGCGTTTGGGCAGGTGACGATGCTTTAGTGAGCACTTATTTGACTTTAGAGTGTAAAGGTGCTGATGGGCGGTAGCGTGCCAGTGGATTTGAAAGAACTCGCATCCTGTAAAGGCGTTTGTAGATAGTGGAGCGCAGCAGACCATCAGTACGTCTTATCCCACCCTTTCCGTGTATGACTGACTTCACTCCACTTGTGCAGTGAGCCCCGAATGCACAGAAGCATGCGGGTGCGTAATTTTCTCCCGCATTAGACGAAACTGATGCATTGCAGGATAATGCGTCTCACAGATGGGCGATTTGCAGGCATCGCACGTGGAGTGGGGACCGCCAAAATTCTGGGACGTGTGCATAGTGCACAGATGCGACTTGCTGACTTGCATCTTCCGTGTTCGTCCACGATAATTGAGGTTGGTCTTCTTTTCTGATGTATCTCATCCGATCATGAAGCTAATATAAACTCGAGGGCCGCGATGTAGATCTTCTGCTCGGGCTTGACATGCTGAAGGCACACCAGGCATGCATCGACCTCGAAAAATCTGTGCTGCGTATTTAAGGGCGTGAAGTAAGTTTCCTCTCCGAACACGAACTCCCTGAGAAAGCACGGATGATCGAATCGGGAGCGGACGATCCCAGCCGCGTCTACCTCGGGCACTTCCAGCAGCGCTTCACAACCTGCACGAACGAGTGGTAGTAGAAGTGCTGGGACCAGTGGCTCGTCGTTTCCAGGTGGAGGAAACACTGGCACGCTGGGTTCGGCGCCTCAGGCTGGTGCGCCACGCGCACCGACGCGTCCCGCCGCTACCCAGTCACGACACCCAGATTCTGCTATCGAGCTGATCATGGGACTTGGGGTATCGCGGGAGGTAGCGATCAGTATGTTGGATGCGGCGGGTGGGAATGTGGATGCTGCTGCAAGTTTGTTGTTCTGAGTCCTAGGGTGGGCGGAGATTCTTGCAATGGTAAGAAGATGCTAGACATTGTCGCCATGCCTCTGTCATCCGGAAATTCATCTGGTGCAGCCTCCATGTTGAAGCCTGAAACCACCGCCGTGTGCATTCAATCAGCACTCGTAAGTTATCCTGAGTCTTCTTCAGTCTAATACAAGTTTTGCAGGTCAATCGCGACAATCTACAATTAATTGTGCAGCAGGTGTTGTCCTATCTTGTCAAGCCCGAGTCTTCCGCCATTCCGTCTGCGGTACAATCCCTATCTCAGCACATCATCCCGTCTGCTCCTGCAAAGTCCCCAGGTGCACCATCACAATCCATCGCCTACCGTCTTGTCTTGTCACAAAGGATCATGACAATGTTGCCGATTTTGAATGGTACCTCTCAGTCCTCGTTGACCTCGCATACGTATTGAACGTCGATATCGGCACGCAAATTAGCGACCAACTAGTAGTAGACGTTGTCGGACGCGTGAGAGCGTCTAGGAGCTATGTTGATGGTAAAAGTATTCCAGCCAGAGATTGCGTCTCTGAGGAATTGAAGGTGAGCGTCTTGTGCATCATACCATAACTATACTTCAACTCACGTTTACCTCCATAGGCCGTTCTCGTCCATCTTGCCGACCTCACGATATGGCAATCAAACAATCATTGGCTCGGAGGGTTACAATAAACCCGGCCTGGCATGACTCCCAACTTAGAGCCTCTGTCCGCACTATTCTCACAGTCACAGTATGCACCTCCCCCGGTAAGGCCCGCTTTCCAACTCTATTCTATACATACGCTGATCATGATGTCACGCTGTGCATAGCACACGGATCTCTTCAGGTGAGCATTTGCCTCAGTCTTCCTCGACTTCCGCTGGCGTCATCTAGCACTCGTCTTCATTCATTAGATCATTGGAATGCCGGGAACTTAACATAACCTGTCGCGAAACTCGATCATACTCTGGGCAACCATGACAACCCGGTGCAAGGCCACGTGAGCACGAATCACATTCGGTTCATCATCGGGTCCTCAACTCTGACATTGCCGCACTCAGGCTATGTTGGGGTGTCACACAACTTTCGCAATGGCCGAAGGTGGCAGTAATATAGCACTGTGGATATCTCCCTGCCCCAAACATTATTTCTGGTACTGTTATCCCAATTTTGAGTCTCCTCTGTCTTGACTGACCAGGCTACTAGCGCTCAGCTAGTCCAGCCTGGACGACTCAGTACTAGTAGTACTAGTGTTCCCTGCTTCACAGTGCGTCATGTGATTCTTCTGTTGCGCCTGGGACTGTCAGCTCGCTAGGACCAAGACCGCGCGTCTGATCCTTCTCGCAGAATGACTCGTATCGTTGGTCTCCGTGCAGTGACGACGAGACGCCACCCGCAATTCGACGCGATCAGACCAGAAATCGCAAGCCCTTAGCCGTCGTCGCAATGCGGCCGGGACGATTCCTAGCGTGAATCTGAATTCGCGCCAGAACCGCATCGAGAGGTGGAGAGTCGGGGAAGCAACCAGTGACCAAGGTGGGTTCTCCCCGCGATCCGCTTCATCTGCACCATCCATTCCGCTTCTGACATGCGCAGACGCTGCTCGGCGTGATCTCCAATTTGGTGTTTTAGTTCAGCGATCGCGCTCGTCGAAGGAGCTCGATGTTTTTCACCTCCATTTAATATCTATGTACTCTCATCAATCTATGTTTCTCCTTCAAACCACCTGCATGCGTGACTGTGCTGTGATATATTCATGTGCCTCAACGCCTAGCAACTCTACATCGAAGTAACGACGAAACGCCGACAACAAAAAATCACGACAGCGAGGGCCTGTGGGTCTTCATGCAATCCAACACAGCTTGCACACATTTCTGAACGCCCCGGATGTGCTGACCCTCCAACGCTCTTTTGATGAGCTTCAGGTTGGATTCTGCGATCAAATCCTTGGCATCAATAATGAGGTCTTCGTTTGGCTGACTGGAATAGGTAAAAATTCTTCATCAAATCCATGACCGAGGTGTCGTTCACCGCGATATCAAGCCTGGAAACATCCTAAAGCGATCAAAGGCTACTTGAAGCTCAAACTAAACTATACAACCTTGATCGAAAAATCGAAGCATCAAGCTCTTCGAAACGAGCTCGCCGAATCATACGTTGCAAACTGAAAGAAGTCGACAAGATCAGGACAGAAGAAGATCGATTCACACTTGGGTAAGCATAAATTTGAAGTTTTGCGCGACAGCTTGGACTCAACCGTTTAAAGTTCATTTAACAATGAAGACGAAAGACAAAGGGCCATAGACAGAGTCCGGGACCTTGGGATCGATCAAGACAATTTGCGATACCAACTAGAGCAGGCCGATTCCGAGACATTCGCTTCAAATTTGGATGAATTCGAAAAGAACAGCGACCCGATTACGAAGGAGATGGTTGCAAATACTGCCATGTATTATACCTTTATTCCTGCAGCTGAAACTCGCGAGTCATCAGAGATCCTGAAGGTTGCGGACAGGCTAAGCACAGTAGTAAGAACCACCCTGTTTGCGATCAGTGACAGTATTGACAACTTCTGGAATAAGGTGGTTGTCCAGCCGGAGGCTGTTGAAGCCGTTGCGAACACAGTGCAATATATGTGGGCAGGACTCAAAAATCCACGAAGGCCTATTGCATCGTTCCTTTTCGGTGGTCCATCAGGATCCGGGAAAACGCTGCTCGTGAAGGGAGTGAGTCTCGCTGATCATTAACTGCTGCTCACTTCTTATGTGCTCACCCTCTAAACAGCTTTGCGAGATTGCACTTCGACAATCTGGCAAGTTGCTACGCATTAATGCCAGTGACTACATCGAACCGCACAGTCTCATGCGTCTGGTAAGCAGCGCGAGGTTAGCTAGGGTCCTGTAACCTTAAATCATGATTGTCAGATTGGAACTCCCGCATGTACGGGGTATGACTATGGTGGTCAGCTGACTGAATGTGTCAGGCGAAAGCCATTCTCTGTCGTCCACATCAAAGAGTAGGCGTAATTTTATCTGGTTACTCATGGTCCTTATTGAAGCCACCTTTTCGCCTAGCATCGACCGGGGTTGCGTGGAATTCATACAACCGACTTGAAGTATTACAACCTGCACACTAGTGCTGAATTCTGCCCGGCTCAGCGTAAGACTCGGATCCAGATGACATCACCAAGTAGTCGTACATTTCAAATAACACATGATTGATCTGATCCTTGTGTATTCTTAGTGCATCTTTTATGTTTGATATTATTGCTATAGTTGCACTTGCCTGGCTGTCAACAATGAGGTTATGTTTACCGCTGAGCCATAATTATCTTGGTCGGGTACGTTATAGTCACGTGAGCCTTGTCGTTGAACTGCGTAGTACGCATTTTGATGGTCATACATCCGTGATGGCCAACTCTACACTGTAAATCATGCGGCTGTTAGGAACTTTCTGGATCCTGCTGTTATTTCTCTCAATGGTATCTTGTGGCGCACATGGTTGCTCGTGGGATAGGGCAACGGACACTCGAGGACTCAACAGGCATCGCGCAAGTTGCTGCTTTTTCAAGAAGTCCAGCGTCCTTGCAAGTCAGAAGAGACTACAACGAGCGAGACATGCAACATTGGCGAATTCAGTCTCAAGTCCGTCAGTCACAGTGAACACATCTCAAGTGAGTGATTCAAGTTCATGGTCGCTCACTACTAGTACAGGTGCACTCAACACAGGTAATTCGTGTTAACAGAGAATAATACCAGCAAGACACAGGGATGCGATAGCGCATCTAAGACCAATTGCTCCCTGCAAACCCTCCGCGACTCGCGTGTCTTTCAATACCCCCAGTCTTGGGGCTTCTGAGTCGCATGATCCCCTCGATGCAAACTCGGAACGAGGACAAAGTTTCATGGATTTCGAGTTAGAGGACACCAATTTTGGAAATGGTTCCAAGTGCGATAACTTAAGTTCGTACTGTCTAGCTCCTGCGTTCAATATCTACTAACCACTCGGCTTCAGCAGGAACCACGCTACCCAGGAGACGGATTCCTAGGCCTTCGGACGAAATCCACCATCCAGCCGAGGATCTTAACGACTCCAATAATATTGTTGACGTTCCATTAATCCCAGCTCGAACCAGGATCCAGCGAGTCCTTTTAACACTAAGAGATTCTCTCCAGACTGTTTTCAACTCGTGTGGACTCTGCCGTTTATATCCTCGTCGTCCTTCCTTCGAGCTGAATAAGTTTATACAGTCCTTGTGTTAAGGTCGTACTCTCGTAAGATCGGATCCGAAGGACTTCGGCCTCAGCTCGTACGCTGTGCCCCTTTCCCAAGTACTGTCCCTTATTTCAAAGTACTAACGATAACGCGTCCGAAGGTCCGGACGGGTCTCGTAGTATATCCGGAAGTCTTCCGGATATCGGAAACGCGTATAAGGCTAATCCGGACGTATCCGAACTAGAAACTAACAGAGTAAAGACTACCCGAAGGTAGAGCCGAGGATATAGACTATCGGAATCTATCCAAAGTCTCGGAGAGTGACAAGAGTAAGGAGAACTCAAGTCCGGAGGACAGAAAGAGGACAAACTAAGATGATATTCGAACTGAGGTACTACAGGACATATACACGAGTTTATATACTATGAGGATAACGGAAGTATCAGTAAGCAAGGGTCCGAGGCTATGTACGAAGCATGTGCAAAGGTTATCAAACGCGAGTCGGAAATGAGACATAGGTTAACGGATCAGTAATCATACCGGTAATAAGCATAACCGAAACACCGGGAAGAGGAAATACCGAATAGGCTGTGTTTAACGTTATATGAAACAGGAAATGAATTAGAAAGCTTATCGTAAATCGGATCGGAAGCGGATCTATACATCGGACCGGACCGGATCTCAGGGTCCGAAGTCCGGAAGAGAAGCGTGAATATATGGGATATGACAGTATCCCCCCCTTAGGGCCGATCCCTAGAGGCACAAGAACCATCGGTCCGGACCGGACGAGATTATCGCGAGATGATGGAGAAGCGTCTGAGTTCGGAATCGGACAGGTATACTCAAGGGCGGACGTCCCAGGATGATTCTTCCTTTCCCACTTTTTACTCTCTATAACGCTCTATCGAAAATGTCTGGCAACACCTCCGGATCTCAGAAGACTGCTAAGCAGAAACTGCTGGAGCTTCAACAGCAACTAGCGGACGCTGAAGCTGCGGCTCGGAAGGAGGAGGAGGAGATTCGGAAGCGTCAGGAGGCGGAGCGGAAGCGTGAAGAGGAACGGAAGATTCAGGAGGATCTTAAGAGGATTCGAGAGTCCGAAATTCGGGTGGAGGCAGAAAACAAACGGCGCAGGGAGATAGTAGAGGAAATGGTGAGTTTCGGATGGTTATGATGGCTTTGCCTGACGGATGAAAAGTCTCGTGCCATTTCCGCTGACAAGGACGGATCCTGCAAGCGTTGCAGCGACAGAGGCCGGACTTGCCTTTGGACGGATGCGGAGAGCAATGCTCTGGTGAGTTAATCCGTGTTTTTTTTTTTTTTTCGGATCCGAGTGTTTTGACGTCCGGATAGGTCAAGTCTTGCGATATCTGCCGGAAGGACAAGGCTACGTGCCCCGGACGACCCGGAACTGTCAAGGTGCCCAAGGGCAAGAAGAGGAAGCATGCTGCCGGATCTCCATCTCCGAAAGGTAAAGGTAAGAAACGTCAGAAGAGTCCGACTCCTGAAGATCCGGAGGAGATGGAGACGGAATACGATGATCAGGCTTGGGTGGCCGCAGCCAACAGTATAGTGGCGGAGCTGGCTAGGACTAACACCCTTTTGGAGAGAAGTATTCAGGCGGCGGAAGGCAGCAGGGCTGCAGCGGACCGGATGAGCTCCGGAATTGAGCTGTTCCTTCAGCAACAGAGGGAATTTCAAGCCATGTTGTTCGGACATATTCGGAAGGGATTTCGGACGTCTCCGGGTCCGGAGGAGGAAGATGAGGTGATGGAAAGGGCGTCCGGAAGTGATGCAGGCGGATCCGGAGAGGCGGATGGGTCTATGGAGATGTAGGAATTTCTGGTCCGTTTATGCTTCTTCTCTAAATGTACTTGTATTTCGTATGCACACTATGTACTTCAAAGTTGAATAGGACCGGGTTTGTTCGGATATGCAGCGTGGAAGTCCGAAACTAGTTCGGATGCGTTACCGAGCTCCGTAGCAAGTAACCATGAAGTCTCCTCGTCCGTTCCTTCATATCCGGACCATCGGACGAGGTATAGGAGTTGACATTGTCTTCTCCGACGGTCTAATTTTGAGTCCAAAACTTCGGATATCTCATATTCGGGTTCTCCGTCGACTTCGACCGGAGGCGGAGGCGATTGGATACGATTAGGAATGGTATTGAGTGTGGCTGGTTCTAATTGCGAGACATGGAAAACTGGGTGTACGGAGCGCATGGAATCCGGAAGTCGGATGGTGAAAGAATGCGTACCCGGACGAGCTATGATTTCGAACGGACCTAAGTTCTTTTCCGAGAGTTTCTTGGACGGACGGGTGGATCGGAAGTATTTTGCTTTGACGAAGACCGGATCTCCGATTTTCATATCCGGAGCAGGTTTCCGTTTGGCGTCCGCAGGTCCTTGATATCTTTCTTGTGCGTGGGCCATTTCTTCTCGGAGGAACTGATGGAGTTCGTCAAGGTCTACTGCATAGTCTCGTGCGCGGGCGGATGAGAGGTCACGTTCCGGATGAACGGATAGGTTCGGATGATATCCCTTATTGGCGAAGAAGGGTGATACTCCGGTAGTAGCACTCGGAGCGTTGTTATAAGCGAATTCTGCCAAGGGAAGTAGTTCCGACCAGTTATCCTGCTGATAGTTGCAGTATATCCGGAGGTATTGTTCAAGGGTTTGGTTCGCTCGTTCGGTTTGTCCGTCTCCTTCCGGATGATATCCGGACGTGAAGTGGAGGACCATATCTAATGCTTTTCCTAAGGACCGGAAGAAATGCGATACGAATTCTGTTCCTCGGTCCGAAGTGACATGGGATGGAACTCCGTGCTTGGAAAACACGTGGAGGACGAATAGACGAGCGAGATCCGGAGAGGTAATGGTGTCGTGGGTAGGGATGAATATAGCTTGTTTGGATAGACGGTCGATTACGACGAGGATGGCTGTAAAGCCGGATGAGTCCGGAAGGTGCTCGATGAAATCCATGGATATAGAATTCCAAGGCTTTTCCGGTATGGGTAACTGCTTGAGCAATCCGTAAGGTTTGTGTCTCGGAACCTTAGCTCGGCCGCAGGAAGTACAAGACTTGACGTAGTCTTTGACATAGGTACGGATTCCTGGCCAAGTGTACTCGCGTCGGATGATATCTAGCGTCCGGTTCTGTCCGAAGTGTCCGGACAACGGATGATCATGAGTATTCTGGAGGACGCGAAGACGGAGATTATTAGATTCCGGAACATATATACGGTTGTCGCAGCGGAGGAAACCACTATCGTCCACCGTCCATCTCGGATCCGAAGGTTCCGGAAGATGTTCGGATGCGATAGGGTCATTAGGAAGTGCGGTCAGGATGTCTTTCCGGAGCTGGTCGATATCAATCAGAACGGCTGCCCTAAGAACCGGAGTTACTAGAGTTGAGGCTTGGAGGGACGAAGCTAACTGTTCCGAAGTGAATACCGGACGGAAATTGTGAGGGTTAACTCGAGCGTAGTCCTTATCCCCCTCTTTGGGATAGACGTCCCAGCGTCTAGTAAGGGAATCCGGTTTAGCTCCGAGTTTTCCGGGACGGAAACGGATGACTAGGTTAAACTGATGGAGGAATTCCGACCAGCGGGCCTGACGGCGAGAGAGGAGTTTTGTGGTAGAGAAATACTCAAGGTTCTTATGGTCCGTGACAACGTCTATCGGCTCGGCAGAGCCTTCAAGGTAATGTCGCCACGTCCGAAAAGCTTCATGGATGGCTAGAAGTTCCTTATCGTGAGTGTCGTAGTTGAGTTCCGGAGCGG